ACTTAATTAAAAAAGCGTATTTTAATATTTAAACTATAAAATGCCACACCATATTTGTCCCGCTCTGCTGCAATGCATATAACATAATGAATTGACTTCAAAATATTGCTATTTTTTGCAGTTTTGCACTAAATTAAAATTAAAAATGATAATTAGAACCAATTTTCTTGTTAAATGTAAGAAAACTATTACAAATTTTAGAATTTTTAAAAAATTCAAAATTTAAATTTGAAATTAAATTTAATTTTGAACCTTAAATTGAATTGAAACCATGATTAAATGAAGGTTTAATTAATTTTGCTGACGAATTTTTGCGTAAAACATATTTAAAAAAGCGTATTTTAATATTTAAACTATGAAATGACCACACTATATTTGTCCCGCTCTGCTGCAATCCATATAAAATAATGAATTAGCTTCAAAATATTGCTATTTTTTGCTGTTTTGGCACTAAATTAAAATTAAAAATGATAATCAGAACCAATTTTCCTGTTAAATGTAAGAAAACTGTCACAAATTTTAAAATTTTGTCACAAATTATATAATTTTTAAAAAATTCAAAATTTAAATTTGAAATTAAATTTAATTTTGAACCTTAAATTGAATTAAAACCATGATTAATTGAAAGTTTTATTAATTTTGCTGACGAATTTTTGCGTAAAACTTAATTAAAAAAGCGTATTTTAATATTTAAACTATACACTATATTTGTCCATATTTGTCCCGCTCTGCTGCATTGCATATAAATAATGAATTAACTTCAAAATATTGCTATTTTTTGCAGTTTTGGCACTAAATTAAAATAAAAATGATAATTAGAACCAATTTTCCTGTTTCTTGTTAAATGTAAGAAAACTATTACAAATTTTAAAAAATTCAACATTTAAATTTGAAATTAAATTTAATTTTGAACCTTAAATTGAATTAAAACCATGATTAATTGAAAGTTTTATTAATTTTGCTGACGAATTTTTGCGTAAAACTTAATTAAAAAAGCGTATTTTAATATTTAAACTACGAAATGAACACACCATATTTGTCCCGCTCTGCTGCATTGCATATAAAATAATGAATTAACTTCAAAATATTGCTATTTTTTGCAGTTTTGGCACTAAATTAAAATAAAAAATGATAATTTAGAACCAATTTTCTTGTTAAATGTAAGAAAACTATTACAAATTTTAAAAATTTTAAAAAATTCAACATTTAAATTTGAAATTAAATTTAATTTTGAACCTTAAATTGAATTAAAACCATGATTAATTGAAAGTTTTATTAATTTTGCTGACGAATTTTTGCGTAAAACTTAATTAAAAAAGCGTATTTTAATATTTAAACTATGAAATGACCTCACTATATTTGTCCCGCTCTGCTGCAATGCATATAAATTAATCAATTAAGCTCAAAATATCTAACTTTTTTTAAAGAATGTAGTTTTTTTTAACAGTTTTAACATTTAATTAAAATAAATTTTGACATTACTGGTATTTATTTTACGTTTAATATACAAAACTCTAATGAATTATTGAATTTTCATAAAATTTGATGTTCAAATAATGATTAATTTTAATTGTAAGACCATTATTAATTAAAAAAAAACCATTATAAAAAAAAAAAAACCATTATTAATTGAAAGTTTTATTAATTTTGCTGTTGAATTTTTGAGCAAAACTTAATTACAAAATTTTAATTTTTAATTTAAATTTAATTGATTTCACTTCTGTAATATTAAAAAAAAACTTAGTTATTAAAGTTTATTTTCTTATTTATGTTGTCAATTGACCACACTGTAAGCGACCGGTACGTATGCAATGCATCGAATTAATCAATTGAGTTCAAAATAACTAATTTTTTTAAATGAATTGACATTTTTTAATAGTTTTAACATTTAATTAAAATCATAATTGATAAAACTAGAAATTATTTTCCCGTTTAATATACAAAAACTCTTGCAAGTTATAAAATTTTCACCAAAATCAATGTTTAGATTTGAAATAAAGCTTAAGCCTAAGCCTAAGTATACCCTAAGCCTAAGCCTAAGCATTATTTTAATATTTAAGATGCCAAATGACTACAATGTTCAAGCACTATGCGTATATAATAATCAATTTTTTTTTATTAAATGATTATTTTTAATAGTTTTAACATCCTTTAAAATTAAACTATAAAATGACCACACCATATTTGTCCCGCTCTGCTGCAATGCATACAACATAATGAATTAACTTCAAAATATTGCTATTTTTTGCAGTTTTGGCACTAAATTAAAATAAAAAATGATAATTAGAACCAATTTTCCTGTCAAATGTAAGAAAACTGTCACAAATTTTAAAATTTTTAAAAAATTCAAAATTTAAATTTGAAATTAAATTTAATTTTGAACCTTAAATTGAATTAAAACCATGATTAATTGAAAGTTTTATTAATTTTCCTGACGAATTTTTGCGTAAAACTTAATTAAAAAAGCGTATTTTAATATTTAAACTATAAAATGATCACACCATACTCGTCCCGCTCTGCTGCAATGCATATAACATAATGAATTAACTTCAAAATATTGCTATTTTTTCTTAATTAAAATAAAATATGATAATTTAGAATCAATTTCCTTGTTAAATGTAAGAAAACTATTACAAGTTTTAAAATTTTTAAAAAATTCAAAATTTAAATTTTAAATTACTGAATTAAAACCATGATTAATTGAAAGTTTTATTAATTTTGCTGACGAATTTTTGCGTAAAACTTAATTAAAAAAGCGTATTTTCATATTTAAACTACGAAATGAACACACCATATTTGTCCCGCTCTGCTGCAATGCATGTAACATAATGAATTAGCTTCAAAATATTGCTATTTTTTGCAGTTTTGGCACTAAATTAAATTAAAAAATGATAATTTAGAACCTATTTTCTTGTTAAATGTGAGAAAACTATTACAAATTTTGAAATTTTTAAAAAATTCAAAATTTAAATTTTAAATTACTGAATTAAAACCATGATTAATTGAAAGTTTTATTAATTTTGCTGATGATACTTTATTACAAAAGCGTATTTCAATATTTAAACTATGAAATGACCACACCATATTTGTCCCGCTCTGCTGCAATGCATACAGCATAATGAATTAACTTCAAAATATTGCTATTTTTAGCAGTTTTGGCACTTAATTAAAATTTAATTTGATAATCTGGATGTCGTGGAAGGTTTTGATTGTTTAATTTAATAATATCGGGAGAGGTGTTTGATCGCAGGGAGATTGTCTTGGATGTAAATGTAAATGCTTGAGGTAACAGAAATATAATCATGTTCTTTATTGGCAAAGTAATAGGACAAAACGTTGATAGAGAACAATCGAAATTGGAATAAAATTACACACATATACTAAATCTTTTAACAAGGCTATGAGTTGCAATAGACAATACATGATAGATGCTCATAGTATATGAATTGATATAAGATCAAAATTCAATTAAACCATTTCGATGAATTGTAAAAGACATTAATGGATTGCTATATTAAACATTGTTTACATTTATTTAGTGCTTCGCGATGTTAAAATCCGCGACACTCCCGATGGGGAATTTAATTTGGAGATTTCGGATTTAAGGATTTGAGTGTCATTCTTCGTTTTCTGTTGAAGTTTGTTTTTGTTTTGTAGCACTTCTAGTTCGTTTAGCTATGGGTTCCTCTTGTTTATCAGTTCCATTTATTGTATCTTTCGATATTGTTGATTTGTTTTTTTCTGTTGAATTTCCAATGGATATAACATTTTAATAGGTCGATTCATTAATCTCACTCGTGGTAACTCTATTAGAGCACTTCTTATCTTATTATCCTATCCCTTATTGAGTTCCTTATTTTTACTAATTTCCAGGTACCACGAGGAGCGTTTGACTTCTTCAATAGGGACTCTAATCTCTGCGTCTTTCGGAGATTTATGTTCTACTTGTGTACGTTCTCTCAAACTGGTTAAGTATTCCTCCTTCCATATTTTCCAGAAAGTATCCAGAGTTTCCATTGTTCTTGCCAATATTTGATAAGTTTCTGTTGAGTATTTAACTTATAAGGAGTATAATCATCTCGATCATCGGTATTTCTAGTAGGTATTATTAGATATACGTCTGGTATAATAAAATCAATAGGTCTTATTGGTTAACGGATATAAGGGTACAAGTAACAGAAGATAATATTGAATATTATCGATTTAAACGAATCCCATTTGGAGTAATATCTTCACCATTTTTATTATCGGCTACACTTAACTATCATTTGGAGAATTACGACAATGAACTCGTTAACGAGATTAGAGATGTCGACAACATTATAGTATTAGCCACGTGTATCGATGAAGCTCTACACAAATATCAAGAAATGAAAAACATCTTTAACGATGCCTCAATGAATGTTAGAGAATTCTTATCAAACAACAAAGAATTCAATTCTAAGATTCCCGAACAAGATCGAGCAGAGACAAATAAGTTTAAAAAGATTCTTGGTATGAATTGGAACCCATATGAAGACATAATTTAAATAACCCTAAAACCTTGGAAGGATCAAGTACCAACAAAAAGAACAGCATTACAGTTCCTAGCCTCTCAATATGATCTCTTAGGATTCCTAACTCCATGTACAATGCCGATAAAATTATTTCTTCAAAATCTTTGGAAAGAGAAAGTAAGCTGGGACCAGTTAATACGTAAGGAGGATCAAAAGAACTGAGAATCCCTTACATGTGCATGGCCAATATACGTGAAAGATATACAACGCGTCGTAATAGACACATCACTACCCATAGCAATTCATGTTTTTGCAGATGCTTCTTCAGCTGCATACGCAGCTGCAGTGTACTTCATTCAGGACAGGAAAGCTTCTTTAGTTTTCGCCAAGTCAAGAATTGCTCTCATTAAGGATGTGACTATTCCAAGATTAGAATTATTAGCCATGCTAATAGGAGTAAATGCTGTCCAATTTGTTATTAAAGAAATGAATTAGAGAATATTGATGTCACCTTATGGTCAGATTCCAAGTGCGCATTACACTGGATAAAAAATCATTCTCGCTTACTACCAGAATTCGTCCAAAATCGAGTTGAAGAAATAAGACAAAAAAAAATTCTCATTTCGCTATATTCCAAGTTAATTTAATCCAGCTGATGTGGCCACCAGAGGACTTTCTCGACTTCGTCTTGCATATTTTGAATCATGGTGGAAAGGACCAGATTGGTTAACAGAGGAAGAATCAACATGGCCAGTCTGGGAATATAATCTCAACGAAATTCACAGCGAAGACGAAAGTGAAGAAGAAGGCCAAAAGATTGTAGCACATTTTACTATTGATAAAACCTTCAAATTAATCGACGCAAATCGATTTAGCAAGTGGTCGAGACTGATAAGAACTACTGCATTGACTCTGAAATTTATAAATTTAATATCCAAAGGAAAAATTCCTTTGTTAAAAACTTCTTCAGCAAAAGGTCGACTCAATGATAACGATTATGAACTAGCTATAGATGTATTAATCAGACAAGCCAATCAGAAGGAATAACGGAAGAAGAAATAATTAAATGGAATTTATACTATGAAGAAGGAGTCATGGAAATCTAGAAGTCGTTTAGAAAACTCAGAATTAGACGAACAAGGTTACATCCCATATATTGTCCTAGACATAATCGTATAACTGAAATCTTTATACAACGGCAACACGATGAACTGCTTCATGCTGGAATAGCTCATACGATTTCAAGTTTGAGAAAAAGATTTTGGATACCCAAAGGAAGAACAGGAGTTAAAAGAGTTTTAAATAAATGCATGGGATGCAGAAGATGGAAAGCAAAGCCGTTTAAACTGCCGACTATGCCTAATTACCCAGCATTTCGGGTAAGACGATCACGAACGTTTTCACGAGTTGGCTTGGATTATTTAGGCCCTATTTCCGTCAAAATAGAAACAGGAGTTGCAAAAAGATGGATTGCTTTATTTACATGTCTTGCAACTAGAGTAGTGCATTTAGAATTAGCATACAGTTTATCTGCAAAAAGTTTAAATGCTTTCAGAAGATTTGTTTTTGTTGCGCGGATATCCAGAAATAATTCTAAGTGATAATGTCAATCAATTTCAGTTATTTTTTCAAACCCTAATGGAACAAGAAACACAAATAACCGAATTCCTGGTTAAACATGGAATAAAATGGAGAAATATAATTCCGAAGCCGCCTTGGAGCGGAGGAGTTTACGAACGGATAATCGGTCTAACAAAGGGAACATTAAGAAAGGTTATAGGTAGAAAATTGCTAAAAGAAAAGGAGTTTATAACACTAATAGTGGAAGTTGAAAGCATAATTAATACTCGCCCATTAACCTACGTAAACTTCGACGATTCCATAATCCTAAGACCTACTGATTTTATTATACCAGACGTATGTCTAATGATACCTACTAGTAATACCGATGATCGAGATGATTATACTCCTTATAAGTTAAATACTCAACAGAAACTTATCAAACATTGGGCAAGAACAATGGAAACTCTGGATACTTTCTGGAAAATATGGAAGGAGGAATACTCAACCAGTTCGAGAGAACGTACACAAGTAGAACATAAATCTCCGAAAGACGCAGAGATTAGAGCCCCTATTAAAGAAGAAATTGTAACAGTAAACGAATCAAACGCTCCTCGTGGTACCTGGAAATTAGTAAAAATAAGGAAACTCAATAAGGGATAGGATAATAAGACCTCACGCATTTACATTTACATCCAAGACAATCTCCCTGCGACCAAACACCTCCCCCAACATTATTAAATTAAACAATCAAAACCTTCCACGACAACAACATATATGACCAGCTCCGGTGCAATGCATATGAAATAATCAACATGTTTTAAATATCTATTTTTCTTTAAATTAATTGCCATTTTTAGTAGTTTTGGAACTTAGTTAAAGTTAAATTTGATGATCTAGAACCAATTCCTTTGTCTAATATACAAATACTATTACAAAATTTAAGATTTTTAAAAATTTCAAAATTTAAATTTGAAATAAAATTTAATTTTAATTCTTAAATTAAATTAAAACCATGATTAGTTGAAAGTTTTATTAATTTCGCTGATGAATTTTTGCGCAAAATTTAATTACAAAAGCGTATTTTAATATTTAAACTATAAAATGACCACACCATATATGTCCCGCTCTGCTGCAATGCATATAACATAATGAATTAAGTTCAAAATATTGCTATTTTTAGTTGTTTTGGCACTTAATTAAAACAAAAATTGATAATTTCCTTGTTTAATGCACAAAAACTATTACAAATTCTAAGATTTTTAAAAATTTCAAATTCAAATTTTTTTAAAAAAAATAATTTTAATTGTAAAATATGAATTGAGGCCGTGACCAATTAAAAATTTTCTTAATTTCGCTACTGAAATAGTGTTAAAATCTTTAGTATTCAAGTTTTTTTTAAACTTTTTTTCATTATTATTACAGTGAAGTGACCAAAACGAACATGGCCATCCCCCAAAAAATGCATGCAAATTAATCAATAATTTGAAAATATATAATTTTTTTTAATGAAATGATATTTTTTAATAGTACCAGCATTGAATGGAAATAAAATTTAACATTATTAGAACTTATTTCCTAGTTTAACATAATAATTATGTTAAATTTTAGAACTTATTTTCTAGTTTAACATATAAAAATCTTACGAATTGTATTATTTTCAAAAAATGCAAAGTTTAAATTTTTTTAAAAAATTAATTTTAATTGTAAAATATGAATTGGGGCCGTGACCAATTAAAAATTTTATTAATTTCGCTACTTTGTTGTCAATGTTGCTCTTTTCAGAATTTTCATGTTGACCGGATCTGTCATCCGAATTTTGTAAACCAGAATAATGAATGTATGCGATAACGTTGCTAGCGTTGAAATTAAGTAAATAGGAAGTTTCATTTTCAGCAACTAAATAGTTTTGATTTAAATTAGATTACAGAATTGTTACTTCTAATGGTAAGATTTCACGCAAATAATTGTGAATTTTCCATTGTGGTAAGATTTTTCGATTTTTCATTGCTTATGTTATTAATGTCATGTTGTTGATAAAAGTAAAGAACTATAAAAGATAGAACGAAAAGTCTACCTGTTTCTGATCCTTCATTGGTATTTCCCCTGCAGTCGTGGTTATTCAAGTTATCCAAGAAATATTTGTTATCGATGTTGCTCTCTTTAGTATTTCCATGCTGACCGGATGTGTCGTCTGAGGAAAGAGTAAGTTGGTGAAAATAGATCGGAACCGCATTTTGTTGTGAACCAGGTAAGTGCATATATGTGATAATGTCATCGGTGTTGACATTAAGTGACGAAGAAGTTTTGAGCATCTAAATAACTTAGATCACAAGAAGCTATTCACTTATCTTTTCACATATTTGGAGCAAAAGTCTCACCTCTAATGGAAGGATATCGTGCTTTATCATCATTCGTTTTTAATTCTCCATTGGCATCTCGCCACACATTCCTGTATGAATCCAAATCTGAGTCAAGTGATGACTCCAAATTAGTGTGGACAATGAAATCATTATAACTAGGTGAGATAAAGCCAGGATGAGGATTGTGAACATATCAGTCTCAGATTTTGATTCTTTACTGCTTATATCCTCAGTTTCACTCACTTGAGCGAAATCAATGAACTGCGAAGGATCGGACAGAAATTCTGAGCTAAATAATGGTTCAATGTTGTTGTAATCAAAGCTATTTGAGATACCAGAATAAGTATTGTCGCAAATTATAATTTCGCGTAAACTCCTATCTAAAAATAATCCCATAATATCATAAATTATCTCTACATAAATCTAATTTCTTAAGATTTTTCACATGTGATTTTCATCATAGATACATTCAGTTATCACATTGTAATTTCTCAGTTTTTTTTAGACACTTCCGACTCTTCAGACATTGTAAAACAATCTTACAGTATCTTAAATTATCTCTCCTTAAATCTAATTTTTTTGGTTTATTACACATGTAATCTCATATCATAAATTCTCAATTCTCATGAACATTTCAAATTCTTCACATTTTTATCTTAGACACGCCCAATTACCACTCATATAAAATTAAATCCTAAAAAATGACATTATTTATTGTCTTTAAGGTCGACTACTACTCGGTTAACCAATTTCAATTCCTCCAGTTTTCTTTTATAAATTTCTTCTTTTTTTATTGCTCGGTTTGTTAACATTACGTTCTAGAAAAATAAAGGTTTATTAATCTTCCTACTGTATTGCAACTATTCAATATCAACCAGACAACCTTTCACGACAAAATTTATTGTTGCCACGAGCCGGGAACATGTCAAGTCATATTACTGCGAGCCTTCAACCGGCAAAGGAAAGGTTAGTCAATCTTCTTAAAGAAATAAATGAACTGGAACTCAAATCTCCAGAACCAAATATGAGCGGTAATAACACTAACAATGCACAAGGATGAAGCCGACCAAAACTTAACGCGACTCTCAAAGGAGTTGACAAACCAACAAGCAAAGGAAGAGATCAAATTTACTCCTTCTTCAAATATTAATGTAAATCTTCCTCATTTATCGCTCCCTACTTTCGATGGAGACCCTAGACAATGGCGACAATTTTGGAGCAGTTTTAACGCAGAAGTCCACACACAAGTGGTTCCAGAAATACAAAAATTGAATTACTTATACTCATGTCTCAAAGGAAAAGCTCTACAAGCAATATCTGGATATGATATAGCTCCAGAGAATTATGAAGTCATCAGAAAACTGCCCAATGAAAAATATGCGATCACTCAATAGTAACAACATTACTATACAACGAACTCCAATCAATTAAACGAAATGAAAGAGAATGGATTGGAACAATGAAAATATAGAACGAATACTACTCAGTTAGAAGCTTTAGGAGAAAGCCTCGAACACTCAAATATCGAAATTTTGATCGACAGCAAGTTGCCATTATAGATATTAAATAAAATATATAAACATAAAAAGAAAGACATGCCTTGGTCAATTCTCAAACTAAGAAACTTTTTAACAAGTTTAGTTAATGTGAATGAGCAGAATAAAATCTGTCAACATTCACTTACTCAAATCAATATTAAATCTACAACTATCAAACCGGAGCAAAAACAACGATACAACCCCGGAGGAACTTCAGCACTGTCGACAATAAAAGATAATCAAAATACTTCGAAAACTACAACAACGAAAAAACGACCATGTGTATTCTGCAATCAAGATCATTGGGACAGCGATTGCGTGAACTACACGACTCTCAATGCTCGACTTAATCGTCTCAAAGTATTAAAGAAATGTACTATTTGTCTTCGAGACAGTCACAAAGGACAGAATTGTAATGTCAAAAGACAATGTTTTTATTGCAAAAGCTTACATAATAGTGCTCTGTGTAATAAAAGGAATTCACTTTCTTTAAACAATACAATGTCTCAAAGAAATGAAGAGCAAGAAAGAATTGGACCTTCGAAACGAAAGGATTGTTCAACTTCTCTCTACAACTCGACATTAACAACTCGATCCAAACAGACAAAGGAAACTTTACTTTTATGTAAGGAGATAAAGGTTTTTAATTCATCACAACCTCAACTACAACAAAATGCTCTTGCATTATTTGATATTGGATCACAACTCTCCTTCATTTCCAAAAAATTATCACGTCAATTAAAGTTAACCGAAACAGAAACTCAAATTATGAGAATAGCTCCTATTTGGTATGAAAGAACCGAAATCATGTCCCACTGCTCGCATACAACTAAATGCGAATTATATCCTAAAGAAGTAGTATATTCTACAAATGCCAATATTAACTCGGAGCTAGAAAAATTTTGGAAATTAGAAACGATTGGTATTCAAGAATCACCTCAAGATGATGATGATGATCAAGCTTTAAAGCATTTCAAACGGACCATCATCAAACAGGGTAAAAGATATCAGGTTTGTTGGCCATGGAAGGACTCCAAACAAAAATTAAGCAATAATTATGGATTATGCCTGGGACGATTGAAGAATTTGATCAACCGCCTACAACATAATTCAAATCTCCATTCATATCATCAAATACTTATGGATCAACTACATTCAGGTATAATTGAAGAAGTACCTCCAAAGGATGAGGTAGGCATTATTCATTACTTACCACATCATGAAGTATTAACTCCTAGTAAATCAACAACTAAATTGAGAATAGTATACGATGCTTCAGCACATCACAAAGGTTTTAAAAGCTTAAATGAAGTATTATATCGAGGTCCAGTAATGTTACCGGATTTAGTTGGAGTAATATTACGTTTTTGGATGATGAGAATAGTAATAACGACTGATATCGAAAAGGCACTTTTACAACTAGAACTATAAAATAAGGAAAGAAATTGTACGCGTTTTCTTTGGTTAGATGATATTGACAAAGAACTAACTGATGAAAATATAAAATGTTATCGTTTTAAGAGAGTTCCTTTTGGAGTAATATCTTCCTCTTTCCTATTAGCAGCAACATTAAATTACCACCTAGAAAACCATGGTAGCGAATTAGCATGGGAGATAAGGAAGAATTTATACGTAGACAATGTTATTATACCAGCTAGTGGAACAGAAGAGGCCTTATATAAATATGAAAGAAATTTTTGGTGAAGCATCGATGAACATAAGAGAATTCCTTTCAAATGACGAAGAATTTAATGAAAGAATACCTGAACGACCTAAGCTTTCACCATTGCTTTTTGACATATTTTATCAGAAAGATAAAATATGTCAAAAAGCATCAGAAAGAATTTCAACATAAGCGATGTTTGTTGTTTGAAAAGATGGGACAATTTTCAAAAATTTGGTTGAAAAAATGGAGTAACGTTTGCATAAAGGAAATCGATGAATAGCTGGGATTAAATGTCATAGTTTGGTGAAATATTTAATCAATTGTGCAATATTAAATAATCCTGCCTGCTTTGTTTAATAAAATATAGTATATTGAATGGTAAGTGAAATATTGAATGAATTATTTGCATATTGTAAAAGTTTCAGTTTTAATTTTGGTGACGTAAATTAAATGACAATTGGAAATATGTTGACTTATTTCCAATATTTATTCTTAGGACTGCCTGGTACTTTAATGGTACCTTAATTCATTAAAAATTTAATTAATTTTGCTACTGAAATATCATTCAGAACTTAATTATCAAAGTTTATTTTATTATTTATGCTGATCAAATGAACAACCATAAATGACCAGTACCTATGCAGTGCATAAAAATTAATCAATAAGTTCAAAATGTTTATTTTTTTAATGAATTAATATTTTTTAATATTTTAACATTTAATTAAAGTGAAATTTGGTAATGCCGGGATTTATTTCATAGTTTAATGTACAAGAAATTTTAAAAATTATACGATTTTTATAAAATTTCATATTTAAATTTGAAATAAAAATTAATTTTAATTGTAAGAATGGAATAAAACGTTGACAAATCAAAAATTTGATTAATTTTGTTTCTGAAATATCATTCAGAACTTAATTATTAAAGTTTATTTTATTATTTATGCTGATCAAATGACCACAATGTATGTGATCAGTTCCGCACTAAGCGTTATAATATTCAATTTTTTTTTTATGAATTACTATTCCTTAAAAGTTTTAAATTTAATTAAAATAAAATTTGATAACAGTAGGACTTTTTATCTAGTCTAATATACAAAAACTCTTACAAATTGTAGTTTTTTCACTGAAATCACTTTTTAAATTTGATATAAAAAATACTTTTGATCGTAAAATTCAAAATTTTATTAATTATTAAAATTTTATAAATATTAACAACTGAAATATTGCTCAAAATTTAAATATTAAAGTTGTTTTATTATTTATGCCGTCAAATCACCAACCGTAAATAACCAGTACCTATGCAATACATGTGAATTAATCAATTATGTTCAAAATTCTAACTTTTTTTAATGAGTAAATAATTTTTAATAGTTTTAACATTTAATTAAAATAAAATTTGATAATAGTAGAACTTTTTCATAAAATTTGAAATTTAAATTTGAAAAAAAAATTCATTTTAATTGTAAGAATGAATTAAAACCGTCACAAATTAAAAATTTAATTAAGTTTGCTAATCAAATATTGATTATAACTTAATTTTTAAAGTTTGTTTTATTATTTATGCTGGTCAAATGACCACAATATATGTGACCAGTACCCATGCAATGCATAAAAAACAGTCAATTAAGTTCAAAATATTATTTTTTAATTAATTGATATTTTGAATAGATTTAACACCTAATTAAAATGAAATTTGATAATACTAGAATTTGTTTCCTAGTCTAATATACAAAAGTTCTTGCAAATTGTGGGATTTTCATAAACATCAATATTTAAATTTGAAATTTATTAAAGTCTGTTTTATTATTTCAGCTTTCAATCTTCCAATGTTAAATTTATGCGTCATTTTTAACTATTTGACAATGAATTCGAGATAAAATATGAATTAAAATCAAATTTTCATTAAAAAATACAAATATTTTGGAATTAATCGGCATTTTGCTTACGGTAATATATTTGACCAATGGTGATCCTTCTTTTGCAGTAAAATTTTTTTTTCACAATATTTTTTAGATGATCAATTTTAACTGTAAGAAGATTAATAGGATGAATATATTTCAATTCTATAAACCTTTAACAATCTACAAATCAGTCAAGTACCACATATTTCTACTGCATTAATAAAATTGCTTATTAATTTCCGTGTTAGGTTCATGCGCCATTTTTAACTTTTGACAACGAGTTTGAAATAAAATATGAATTGAAGTTTAATTATCATTAAAAAAAAAAACACAAATATTTTGAAATTATTCGTCATTTTGCTTAGGGTAACATTTTTATTCAAATGTTGTGAAAATTTTTTTTCACAATATTATTTGAATGATCATTTTCAACTGTAAAAAAATTAATAAAATGGATAGAAAACAATATAAATTACACTAGGTATTTTCTGCACTGTTTAACACGCTACTTATAATTGCTCAGTGGTTATCAAGTTACTCCACCTGCTGTATGGTCTTTTGTCACGTGTTTCTTGCATGAATTTAAAGATGGCAGCGAATTTTATAATCTTTTGTTGTATTTTGCTTGCATAATGTCTGCAAATTTCGTGAAGGCGTTTCTGATTTTACCGTTATTTATGTGGTGCTGTAAGGGCATATCATCAATTCAAGCACTAAATGGAGTCGACATTATGGGACGACTAATTTTGCTTATTTACACGATCATCGATATTGAAACTGCAATAAATGTCTGGTCTGATGTTTGTGTAATCCAAATGATTAATAAAGAATGTAAGGGTGAAATCCAAAAATGATGCTAGAATAAAAGAACTCGAGGCGATTTTGCATGGGCATTTTGTACTGCCATCAGGGCTGCACAGTGATATGTACACACAATGCGCTAAGATTTTTGAGAATCCAAGGAGAGCAATGAAAGTGTGTGAGCTACTAGCAAATAAAAAAAAAAGAGCTAAAACTCCACAGATTTAATTAATACTCTCTTCTGCAATTGCTGGAATAATTGTCGGCTATAAAATTGGCAGGCAACTTGGAATGAAAACAGTGTTACGTGAGCGTGTTAATGGTAAGTTTGAACTGCGCCGTGATTGTGATTTGAGATTAAATAAGGTGAGAGAGAAAATATTACTAGCTGAAGATGTGATAAACACGGACAAATCTTCACTTCAAGCTGTGAAATATGCACAAGATATGGGGGGTAAAATTGTTGCTGAAGCTTCCCCAATAAAGTGAAATAGTGAAACAAAATTACCTTTTTCTACTATATCTTTACTTGAGCTCAGCATTAAAAATTACAGCGAAGCAGAGCTTCCTAAAGAATTGAAAAACTGCCTATAATCAAACTAGGGCGCAGGGAATATTTAAAGTAATCTTATTTTCAATATCATCTAAGCTCATAGAAATGCAAAAATTTGCTTGACAGGCTTTAGTAGTCATCTTATCATAGTATTAAAGCTATTTATTTATCTGTTTATTTATTTATTTATCTTTATAATTTGCGCAGGTTAATGATAAAAAATTTAGGGTACTGGGTGTATCGTATTTGATTTTTTGTACTATGTGCACCTTATGTCTTTATAAATCTGAGTTCAAATTGATAAGGAGTATTTGAATACTAGCTATCCTAAAGTTTTTTTTTTTTTTTTTTTTTTTTTTTTTGCTTTTTTTTCCTGCTTAGATAAGTTTCTTAACATTAGGTTAGTTGCATAAAAATAGCCGAATCATAGCGTTTAGAATAGAAAACGCCAATATTTGGGATACATATAGATAACTAGCCAACTACGGGGTTTTCATTTACCTTTTTTTCTATTTGGTAAATTTCTTAGTATTTATAGCTGAATCAATTTAGGAACAAACGAAAACACTAGCATGACAAGAAAATGGTACTGGTATGACAGGAGAAGGAAGCACTGAAGTAACAAAAAAAGAGACTAGAATTACATTCTTCCCTTTTAGAGTGTGTCAATGTGTCATTTGTAGTCGTGTGTCAGCTATTTTCATGAAGGAAGAAAATGCTGAAATTAAAAGTATTCATTCAGCGGAGTAGCATAATAAGATAGACGAGATGGGTAGTATAAAAGATAACGATAGAGCGAAAGTGAAGTAATATGGTAAATCTTTTAGAACTGAAGTGGAAAATAGAAAAGTTACAAGCAAAATTAGAAAGATTGAAAAGAGGGGATAAGGTCTAAAGGCAGAGAATAAGACTTTGAAGGTAGAAAATGCTGAGTGCTGAGGAAAAGCTCGGCTTATATTCAAAGAATACATTATGTGATAAACCAATCACATATCCACCAAAAGTTGATCTTCCAAAATTGAGTCTTATATGATGGAATATCAACTAAAGCATGGCCAAAAAAAGGAAGAATAGCAAATTACCGGAAAATGTTATACCAGACACATTTAGGCCAAGGGTTAACTTGAATGAAAAAGAAACACTTGCACAAATAGAATAAACGAAATATATTCAAATTGCAAATATGTTAAATACTGCTTTTTGGACAATGCTCATAGATTGGCTGTGCAGCTAAATGCTTGCCTTTGGCGGTTTTTCTTGCGCAATAATATATAATGTCAGCAGATTAATGAGAAGACACCACGAGAATTGTTTACGTCAAACACAAGACAAGATCAATCAATCACTTTTTTGACTGATCAACTATATCAATTGCATGAGCAATCTCAACCTGCAAGTCATCACGGTCATTCTTTCCATCATCGGTTAATCCTTCGATTCTCTTTCTAACTCCAACTTAATCACAGTATTAATTTTGTTTGAGTTATTGGGAAAGCTTTTACATTCTTCATCGCTATATCTCCCACCAGATGCCCTTTTTTCGATAAATAGACTTTTAAATTCTGCTAAATTAAAATTCTGGTCTCATTTCTCTCGATGAAGCTAAGGTATGACAGCAGTAAACTAACCTCTAATAGATCTTTGCTTTCAATGTTTACAAGATCATCAAGATTGTTTAAAACATCAAGCAGCTTAATTATTAGACATCTCTCTTCCTGCACAATTTCTTCATCTTTCCGATCAAACTCAGACAACAATCCTCTATCATTTACGAGTTTCTCACTAAGACCTTTATCTAGCTTTGAAATATTACTATCATTTTGCTTAGTGTTATCCAAGTTCACTCTTGCACTGCGCGCATTTAAAATGTCATCATGGTCATTTAACTTTATGTTACCACCATAATCATCTTGTTGCAGTTTATAATCGAAAACCTTGAAATTTTTTTTATTACCTTTCATCGTTATCCCTACCCACTCAATTTCTATCTTTAGTTAGTTCATTCGATATATCTCTTTCCATTAACTCATTCGATAGATTCCTAACTTATTTAAACCTAGTGTACCACCACCTCTATCCTTACACCTCTCTCTCTGATCCCTTTATCCTATAAAGTACATCATGGTTACAGCCATGCTTCCCTACACAATCAACACATGTGCCCACGTCACCTTCTACTGCTCTGTCCTTCTACCACCCCAAATGCTCTCTTATCAATGACATGTCCCAATACCTCCCCTCTACCCTTGGTATGAGAGCATTAAGAATATATAAACATCTCTTCTGCATTGATTGAATAACCTAACCTCTCTGTATGTCTTGCACCCTTTGGTAGTCGCTACTTTCTTGATAGCTTTCGCAATCTGACAGTATTCACTGTTGGAATCAAGGATCTCCAGTATTCTACAACCTTTCTGCCACACTGTGTCGCCTATTATTTCCTCACAATTTCTGCACCTTTCTTAATGTTATCTCACTACCACCATCTATCTCTATTGTCAATCAACAGTAGAATATCAGTCAGGTCTTTTGCACTGTAACTATCATCAATTATAGTGTCATTTCGTGCTGTATAACGGTCTGCTGGATTATCTTTAGTCAGAGATTGACTGTGTTGAAAGAAGGAGAATGAATTGATGTACATTTTTAGTATGATCGGGTGGGAGAGGGATATCTCTGCTTACTTCTACCTCTCTATGTTTTTGTCCAGCGGGCAACCCTCTCCAGCAGAGTAGGGCACTGAAATTTAACCCAGTAGTTTGCCCAAGCAAAGTACTGCTTATCGATGTTACAAAAATCTCACTTCAAACCACTTATTTTAGCATAAAGTGAAACGTAACTGTCTATAAAAGATATTCATTATAGCAATGACAATAAGGTAAATATTATAATTGATTGCAAACAGAAACTAATACAACATTTTACCCAATTTTCAAGCTTTTTAGCGGTGAAAATAAAATAGCGATTAAAAACAGTGAAAAAAAAAAGAAAAAAAAAAAACCCGAAAGAAATATTATGTAGGCATACAACAGAACAAAGGAAATGTAAGACGATCTCTGTGAAAAATTGGTGGTACTATAAGAATGCTTGCCGCATTTGGTAATGCAAGGATGCCGCAAACTTTTTCCAAACTGAGTAAGCAAAAAATCTGTTAAATATATCTTCCATAAATATAACACTTCCGGTGTTCGTGTTAGGAGCAAAATTAGTAATTATACTTAGCAGTTGTTCAAGGGTTTTAACTTAACGAATGAAATAAAAAAATGATCATAGAAGAAACTTGAAGCTTCCCGGAGATACGATACAAGTACTTTACTAGAGTGATTTTAATTATTCTGATGAGGAGCATATTATGCTTACTTTCTCGTATCATACCAAAAAGATAAAAAAGTGATGAGATTACTGTGAATAAAGCAAGCAAAGAAAGAAGAGAATTGTCAAAGCTCGTGACACAGCTTGTGCAGCTGCAGCATCTTTACTGTCAAAATGCTTTTCACAATTTTCGTTAATCAATAATGCACATTTTAAACAGTTATAATCATAATCAAAAAAATCCAAAGGTAATTTGGCTTCTGCACTCCACTCAAAAATTCAGAGGAGTGTAGCCACCTACATTATCTCTAAGTAATATCTGTCTAATATTTTTACGTATATTTTCCATCTCTTTTTTTTTTAATTTCACTGTATCACAATTTTGGTCCTTTAATTTAGTGCTATTTCTTTCTAGAGTAAACAGTCCACTTCCGTCTTCTGCCGTAGAGTTGTAACTCAAATGTACAGTGGGAAATGAAGGATTACGTATTAATTTCAGACTTGCATTAGGATTGCCACCTGATTTTAATAGAAGATAAGCGCCATAACCTTTGGTAGATCAACGTAGAGCCCCACGTGACACTGTACCATCTTTATTAATGCAGTTACAACTCACAGTGCAACTTGCGTTAAGATTATTTGAAATGTTCTGTGGTGTACTAGGTTTATAATCATTATAAATCAAGTGAAAGTTAGACAAACTATTATCACCTTGTCCACCTTCAAATCTGGTTGCATGTTTTAGCTGCTCCAAACTTTGCAAAGTGTAACTATGTTGAGATTCTCTTTTGTTGTTATTACTCCAAAATGTCCATACACCATTAGCTTGCACTATTAAATCATCTCCATTGGCTTCTAGACCAGTATCTTTCCATTTCACCACTTGGTTATGCTGAAAAACATAATTAGTTTCGCCAGTATCAGGATCAATAATCTCTCCATCACCTGGAAAAGACGCATTATGACCGATTGGAAAATGAACACCAATTGTAATAGGTTTAGGACCAAAATAGTCTGCAGATATATATCTTGGAAAAGGCATATCATGCTTTCAGAACCTGTTATCAGCACATAAGCTGCAAGAAGTAGTAACCTAAACCAAAATTTGCTTAAGCGTAATTGCAATATCTAAACTTTTCCCAAATATAGAAATAAATTTATAAAACTTTATTTAAAACATCTTTTTAATTAGTTACCACATGATAATCATATCCTCTCCTTCTAATTCTTTTTCTCATCCTCCTTAGACTAGAAGTGCTTGTTGTTCCACCAGAACCTTCTCGACTACTGCGCTTTTGTCCGGTGCTTTTAGTTGTTCTTCAGTTTGTTTTTTCTTTTTCTTTGCATCTTTTCCATCATCAGGTTTTTTTTTGTTTAATACATCTGATAATTTCTCAGTTTGGCTCTCCTTGGGCACTGGAAACTGAGCTTTAATTTCTTCTTTGCTGTATATGTATAACTCCTCTAATCCATTTAATATTTCCTTAAGTATCACAATCAAGGCCAATAGTTGACAGCATAGATAGTGATGTACTACTGGCAACATTACTCACATCATTTGGATTCTGATGCATCAATAAAAACTTTCCTTGTGGCAGCAATAATTCGGTATATAAATGTCTGGATTAGATCTACAGACACTACTGCAAAATATCCACCACTTCTTTCTCCGATGTTGAATACCAGAATTGTATCCAAGTATTGATTTCATAATACAAACATTGTACGACAAGAAATTTACGCTAATTAAGTATTGGTAACATGCAGAAAAATTTGTGAGGTGAAGGCTGAATACATCAAGTGGTTTAAAATGGATGAAGACGAAAATTAGACCACTACTGGTTGCACTACAACATGAGCCAGAGTTTTTATTTTTTTAATAAATCAATCACTATCAATAGTTTAATGAACGTCACTTTGTATTTTTTTTAGCATTATGTAAGCATAAAATTGAAGTTATTTTTAATGGACATATTACTAAGTATTTATTATTAAGTATTAATTATTAAGTATAAGTCATTTTCGAAGTAAAAATAAGTTCGAAATGAGTAACAAATTATTGTTCTGAATAATATTCGTGCACATTTCTCATCATCGGATAGCATTTGAGAATTCATTTGAGAATTCAACTGAGTTACAACATGCATTATGTCATGCAGAATTCATTTATTAGTTGTTGAATGAACTTAATGATTATTCAGCGCAAATATTTAGCATTTTTCTTAGTTTGAACAAAAGCTAATATTGGAAAGAAATTGACACATTAGATTTGATTTGTTATTTACAGCAAAGACAACAGCAATAACATAACGATGATAAATGACATTATAGTCAAGTATAATGATAATGATAACGGTCACAATGATAGCTATACTGATAACAGTTATAGTGATACATAGATTGCTTTAGTTGTGTGGTTTTTTAAGGAAATTGCGAAATGAACAAGACATTTCAGAAAAAAAAAATATATTTTTTTGAAGGAACTTTTAAAGTAACTGTTTTTTCTTCTAGTGAGAGGAAAGAAGCAATACAAAAAGAAATTCAAATTCCTCGTTTTTAGAAGATTTCAATTATTCAATTAAAACTATTTTAGTCTTGTTGAATGCTGTAATTGTGATGAAGTTATAAGAATCTGTGTGGAAAATGTTAACTATTATATTTAGCTTTAGCGTAACCTAACAATCTGTTAAAAAAGATATTAGTTATACGAAAAAAGGTCATATCATGTCTGATGGATATATTATCTTCTAGATTTTTGATTTCTGGAGTTGAAATGAATTCAAGCTGAATAAATAATGTTAATTAATTATCATTTTGCAACTTATTAGCATTTCGACGTATTTTCATCAAGTGTGATGTTGAAATTACCAAAGAAGTTACATGGATGATTTCAGACAATTTATTGGACATATTGTCAGTTAAGGATTTCTTCTTTCTTTCTTTCTTCTTTTGAGGTAAACATGAATTGGAAATGAATTTATTGAGCTAGTTACATGCCATATTTGCTTCTTCGAACTTTCAAAATATTGAATGCACGGAAATTTATTCTGAAATTGTTTTTATGTAAGAGCACACTTTGTATGATTTTAAATGATTAAATTAGATCTGCGATTTTAGGAAAAGGATGAGGATAGTTCCTCTGAATACCAATCGGGTTTTGATGTGAAGTACAGTTTGATCCATGCAATACAACACTAACAAATTTTCCATTCAATTATGAAAATCCGATAGTGTTCGAACTACTGTGCGGATAGTTACAATTGAGTATTATATTGGCTTCATTTACAAAGAGAAAATTTACTGATATTTCGGACGACCTAAATAATCAACTTAGGACTAAGGGAATTGATTATCTAATTAAAATAAAGGAGACAGATAACTCGCACAGGCTTTCTTATAATTTTTATTCTTGTTTTGAGAGTTTAAACTGATTCTCTTCTTTGGAGAGGTGTTATCCGTTGATCCAGAGAGATTTACCTGAACGTGGTGTGCAGTGCTGAAGTACTTCCAGATAATTTTCATTAGCGAGTATAATAGAACAAGAAGTAATTGTGGAAGTCGAAGTGATGCCCACTCTATTCCTTATATTTTATTTATAAAGGAAAATCTGATTAAATTAACGATTGCAACACGACTGGTCATCAGATCGGAAACAGTTTGCATATGCACTGGTTTCCGATATTTTAACCACTAAAGAGAAGAGAAGCAGAATAATTGGAAAGAAGAAGAAGGTAAGATAAATGATACATTACATTAAACAACGTGACACTCATTTACACACATTTCATGTGAATTATTTAAATGAAAAACATTTGCAACATATTTTATTTTCATACATATTTTTCATAACTTATTTCGAGGTTCGCACAGGCTTTACTGTCTCTGATTTCGGCTCAGTACCTTGAATATAAAACGAAGAAATTTACCAAGCCCGATTAAACGGCGGGAATCACTATAACTTTCTTAAAAATTAAGAATTTCCAATTTTTAAGCAAAAGTAGTAATTATATTTAACAAAATTATGAAATGTTATCTTGAATTTAAGATTAATTTTTGGTATAATTTATGATAAGTTTTAAAATGATTATATTTATCATTGTTTTGTTAGAATTTTCAAGTCAGATTTTTAAAATTTTAATGCCTTTTTTGAGCAGAATTTTAACTTAGAATTAGAGAAAAAAACGAAAATAAAAATAATTTGATAAATAAAATAAATTTAATTCATTTTCTAAATGAACACATATGGTATTGAATCGCTTATCATTGCTAAATTGAGACATATGTGATGGTACTATTCTGATCTAATATTATGTTGATTGTAACAAATAATTGTGTAAACAATTTGTTATAGTTTCTTGTTGAAATAAAAAAAAATTCAACTGAAATTATTTGAAGGAAAGCCAAATGCCTCGTCATCCAACTCATGATGCATGGAGCAGTCAAGGTAACGTCACAAATTACGAGAGGAAAGTTCTTGTATTTGTGTACAAATATAAGGCTTGACTTCGTAGACTAAGATTTGTGAAAGAATCTACCAATGTTGCTTAATGCAGAGGATCCGTCCGGATTCGCTTCATTTATATCACCGCTATACTCATGACTTTCACTACTTCCGACTTCTTCACGTCACGAGACTTCAGTACTTCAGTTACTTAATTACGTTAAGCAGAAGGTATGGACAGAAAATGATTTGTGTAATTTCTTCAGAAAATGATTTGTGTAATTTCTTCAGTTTTAGTTGAAATCACCAAATGCACGGTTAATCCCTCTGCCCAACGTACACGGAAGAACCCCATTCGCACCCGCAATTGCTGTATGGACGGGCCAGTCATTTCCGGCATACCTGATTGACATGCTTGTTTTTCCCCTCACTGACAGTTCAGCTTTCGGTTGGCTCAGTGATTTCGTCTACCAATTTGCTGTTTCTTGCCTTTATCGTCAGTGGTTCGTGTATATGTGTGTGTGTGTGTGTGTGTGTGTGTGTGTGTGTGTGTGTGTGTGTGTGTGTGTGTGTGTGTGTGTGTGTGTGTGTGTGTTGTGTTTCTTAGTGAAGTCGGCGCAAAAAAAAAATTAATAAATTACAAGATATGTATAGGCTTTTTGATCCCTCGATTTTCTGCTCCGCTAAACTTAATGCAGAAAGGAATTTTAAACCGAATCTCGAATTAAATTATATTCGGCATTGCTATTTTTAAATTACTTTCTATAAATATCTGCATATATGTACTTGTATATGGTAATAAACCCCACGTTTTTATTTAGTGATCGATAACATTAATTAGCAAACCTTAATTAAGGTTTTTTTCAGGTGTATTGCTTAGCTAAAGAAATTCGAAACGTGATGGCTGTTGGTGATAATGTATTATGCCAATGTAAACGGAAAATGATAAGAAAGACTAAAAAAGAAAGCAAAAAATTTCGCCGAGTTGCATATAATTCTCATAGAAGGGTTAATATTTCTTTCGTTTTCTTTTGTGTCCGTTTGTGTCCGTCTTCATTTCCTCCTCTGATCTTTCATTTTATATGTTTGACTTCCTATAAATTGTCATTTACAGTCATCATTATCTTTTTCCTTTTTTATTGCAGGTTGATGATATCATTATGGAAGAGAAAAATCCCATGAGTGGCCAGAAAAATGACGTTGTTGAAATGGTACAAACCAAGAAAAAGAATGTCAAAAGACGTAGAAAGAAAAGTGTAAGTATTTTTAGTGTGCAAATTGTGTGTTTGAAGTTGGAGATTAAATTCAGTGTGTTATGCATACATGAAATTTAATGGTGTCGTCTATCATATTTTTTATGTGTGATGCACTTCAGGTTGTATGCGTTCTGTTCCATCTTAAATCACAATTAATTTAAATGTTTGGTTATGCCTATCTTTCTCTGTTTCTGATAGTATTTAAAAAATTTCTAATTGATTATAAGTCCTTTTTGTTCAGATGAAACGACAGCGAGAAGAACTTATAAGAGGCATTGATGAAGATGACATGGAAATTCATCGCTATGAACGAATCCTCGGTTATAATAAACGGAAAAGCAAAAACATGCCGAAAGTATTCCGCACCGAAGGATTGGATTGTGCGTATTTTATTGTACTTGTCAAACACAACCGTTACACCCTACTTTTTTTTGGATTTTAACTTGAATTTAAGATAAGTTTATTGTCCGAAAAAGGGCTTTAGTGCAAATCACAGTTTATATTATTAACTCGGTTACCCTTATAGATCTTCTCGAAATATGTGATTCAAAGCCACTACAATATAGCAATATTGACGGAGACAATTGTCCTAATATGTATAATAGTGGAATGTTAAGTGATGAAGAGAGCAAAGACAGCAGTGGAAGTATGCATGAAAATAGTGCTTTAACGTGCACTCCGAAAAGAGATTTGCCAGCATCTACAGAAGTTTGTTTCTGCCTAAATGATGAATAATTATGACATTAATGTATCAGTTTTTTGACGTCTGTCGTCATACTTGATTCTCGAAAATAATTTCAATGATTAATTGTGTTCAGATTCAGAAGAATAGTGTTACTGAAATCGATGAGAACAAAGAGGATGAAAAAAATGCTGGCACGAGTTCGGAAGAAGATATTTATGGTCGTCTCATTAATAAGAAAACAGGGCAATTTTTATCTTCAAAATCATGTGCTAAAGAGAAGCTCAATGAACTGGAACAGAAAGCTGGGCTTTTAGAGACAGAAGAACATGTAAAATTAAAAAAGTCTTTGCGAGGTCTGATCAACCGACTGAATGAACATACATTGGTGGGTGCTGTAAAAGTGTTCTCCGATATATTTGCTCGCAAAGGACATAATGGTAAAGTTTGATGTTTTAAAATTAAATTCCACTTTTTTGCACCTGTTATAAATTTGCTCACTGTAACATCCGCTATTGCAGAAGTAAAGCAGTTGCTTTTTTTTGAAATTACAAATAGTGTTGATGTGGGTTATCGCTTGCCGGATCGTCTCATCATTGAATATGCAGTATTTATTGCTCTTATTCATACAACAGTTTCTGTAGAAGTTTGTAAGTTTTTGTTTCCAGCAGTTTTACAAAGTGGTATTTGAACAAAAAGAGCCGTCTGAAGTGGTAATTAGGATAAAGCTGGGATAGAAATTTTCAATTTAAAGTTCTTAATTTTAAAAATTCAAGTTAAACTCTTTTTAACTGGTTTTTGGTGGCTCCAATTGTTATTTCGTTCAGATTTCTAGGATGTGAAATTTCATTTCCTTTTAGCAGCATATTTTGTCGAGAATTACATTGTGAAACTTTTGGAAACAGTTGCTGCATTGCCAGAGGGTAAATCTCTTGAAAACCTCACCGTTTTGCTTGCTGAGCTGTATAATTTTAAGGTGCTGTTTTATTACTAATTTATGTCTTTGCTTTTGTGAGTTTTACAAAATATTTCATCATGACTTTGAAATATTTTAAAAAACCTAATTTACTGGGATATACAAATGACGAGTTATTATTAATAATACTTGTGACGCATAAAATATTCATTTGATGATTTTTTTGTTAGTGATCATAAATTGAAATAGGTGTAAATTGTTGAAATGTCCTGTTAACAAAAAATCTGTAGGTGAAACATTATTTTAATTATTTACTTTTGCAGGTCATCAAAGTTATCATGATTACTGAAATTATGCAGTACTTGCGAGAACAGATCAATGACAAATGTTTTACCTGTTTCAAAGCTCTTTTAAGTTGTAAGTTCGTATTTCAAAGAATAACATATTTTTCATGCAAAGACAATTTCTCCATGGTTTGCTACGAATTATTATGTAATCTTTTGGTTAGGAACACATGGATAAATTGGCTTTTGATTTTTATCTCTCACTTTTGGACTATTCTTATTGCTTTACATTTTATGCTGTCTCCAGATTAAAAAATTGATTAATATAGCTATGATTTTTTAACTTCTCTTTCATAGATTGTGGTAATACTATGAGGAGCAGAGATATGGATGCTTTGCAAAAGTGCATAACAGAAACACAGTCATTCTTCTTGCATCTTCCAGAAACATCTCTAAGAACGTAAATACCTCGATCAAATATTAACACTAATCGTTTTGTAAGGAAGACAAGCTTTTCCTCTATCTCATATCATCAGGAATCTAAAAATCAAAAAATCATGAGATACAGGAGTTCTATTTTACATTAAAACTTGCATGAATGATTAAAGTATTTATCTGTTCAAGATGCCAATTGCGCTATATTGTGGATGAAATCAACGCAATAAAGAATACGAATGTTCGTAAATTTACGGATATAGTAGATTCTGCAATGCATTCTCATTACGTGAATATTTTCCGCGGATTAACAAGAAGTATGTATCGTTATATCGTTTACCGTGCTTACTGCTGACGATCCACAAAATTGCATGTTTTGAAAATTGTAGTGACTTTTAGTGACTGTATTTGTTTTGTCATTTGTTTTATCGAAAATTTATTAACTTTTTATTTATTAATTTTAATTTATTAATAATTACTAGAACAATCAACTCCATATATAATACTCGACTTTAACATTGAAATGAACAAAGTATCAGATGTGAGCAAGATTTTAAGTATGTAAGGTGATAGAACGAATGCAAATGCAAAGGAGTAAAAAAATTATATAAAATGGGCCACTTGAATTATTGCATTAAAGAATTGGACAAGGAAAAAGAGTTGCCAATGAGTGTAGATGACATAATGCACATAGACGAACGTGGACGTTGGTGGCTTGTTGGTTCAGCCTGGTTTCCAACTGCTTCAGTGCCGGTAAACAAAACTGATGAGAAATTCATTGGACAAACTTTAAAATTCAGTGCATCTTTACTGCAACTTGCGAAAAGAGCCAAAATGAATACAGCGATTAGGCGTGACATTTTTTGCACTATCATGTCTTCAACGGTAAACCTTCAATCTTTTCTATCATATATTGATTTCATTTATCATCTAATTAAATTCTTACTGCCTTCCAGATTTGCATATGTACAACCTTAAACCAATCTTCCTACTATTTAAATTATCTTCAAACTGTAAACCATTCCAATTTCAGAATGAAATGGATGCATTTGAGAAACTGCTGAGACTTTCTTTCAAGGGACAGCAGGAAAGGGAAATAGTGCACATCTGTGTTCATTGCGCGTTACTAGAGACTACTTATAATGCATTTTATGCTGCTATTATCGATCGTCTGTGCTGTTATCACAAACGTTTCAAGGTAGCTTTTCCTATCATTTTAATGGACCAGTATACGTTTGTCTGTTAAATCTTTTTCTGAAAATCTATAAAACAGTGGTTGCACTTAGGGGCATTTCTTATTCAGAACTATAAATATTTAGTCATAAAGAATTAATTCAAATATAAGTAATTCAATGCTGGTTATTGGGAAAAATCTTCCGAATTCTATATATTTTTGAGCACTGTTTGCGGAAAGGTTACATGTTTTTCGGACCTTTTAATAGACAACAAATTTTGTTGCTCTGGTAACGAATTTTGCACTGAACTTTTGTCCGAGAATTTTTTTAAACAAGCTATACTTGATTTGAAATAAGTTGTAGGTTTTTGTGCACAAGATTTTGCATTTCGAAAACATTTTGGTCAAAGATCCATAGACTTAAAATTAGGAAAGGTTTCTTTCAGCTTACTACACAGTACGCATTGTGGGATCGGATCAAAGTTTTATCACAGATAAGTGAATTGCAGCGTGAAAATTTAGCATTGCTTATCATTGATCTAATGATTAAACGATCAATTGGGATTACCTTACTAAAGGTAGTTTGTATTTATATGTTATCTTTAACGATCTTCGCATATTATTTCTAATACAATATTGTGGAAATAAATTAATACACGCATGGATTTTTTTTCCTGAGTTTATTAAAGAATGAAAAAAATCGCGTACTGTTGAGAGTGATGCAAAGATGAATGATGAATTAAATGTTTGAAATCATTTTATCAAACGTGGTAAGTCTGCATGGAATTAGATCTGATGGTTCTTGAAGGAGATGTGATTTAAAATATTTAATCATTGTTTTCCAAATGACCACTGTATGAAGTGTAAAGGCAATTCCTTGATAGTTTGGAGCGCGGTTATCAATAGCTGAAATTTGTTAGTCAAATATTATGCTGATGAAAACATTTGGGTGATTGAAAAGTGAGGTCTGACTGCAAGCTCTTCAAAAAGAAAAAAAATCTCTTATCTATTCTACCTTTGATATAGCGAGATCCAGAAAATGAGAAGATGGGACTCAAATATTGAATGTTTGCTTCAGATAATCGAATTTGGTGTCATTGATAAAATAACAACTCAGTTCGTGCGAGGCATTTTATCGACTGTGCTGGTTCGAAGTACGCATCAGGCCTTATTGGAGATGTTCCAGCATGTAGTCAATTCACCACAACACAAGTTTTTTGCAGATGGCCTTCAAGTGTTTATTCATATGGCTTTAAAAAAACCTCAGAAAAATATTGATAACAAATTGCTTATGTCAAAAATTGAGTTTATTGAGAGTATTTGGGATAGTAATCCTCTTTGATACAATTGTCTTCATTAAGTTTTATTATATTGTTAGATTTTTTCTTCGTTGTTTGGGAATTTGAAATGAAAATTTCTGATGTAAATTCGTATGGTCCTTCTCACTTTGTTGCCAATCATAATATTAAAAATGCTGAGCTCTGCACAATTAGATGTGAATCATGAAGACGACCAGCAATTAAAAGCGTCCGATTTTCATTTTTCAGAAAACCTATGATGTTGAAAGGTTATTCTGAAAGGTATTTATTAAAAAATTCCTTTCTTTACACTCATTAGTGTTGATCTTTGATGATCACTCATTCACTGGGAAGGATCGTATCACCAGTCGATGATCGCTCTCCTTTATCATTATCGTAAGTAGTTTCGCATAAAGTGGATAATCTATAATCATTGAAGTCTAGGTTATTCACTGAATTGAATGAATTCAGTTGTGTTGAAATCCATATCGAGAATGGAAGGTTGTTACAGTTACAAGATTGTCAAGTTTTGGTTGTTATTGACGGAAGAATTACTCTTATTTGTTAATTGAAGAGCTGTTGGCAAGTGAAATAATGCAGTTTGATCCGGTCTTGTAAGAGGGTACGGTGCAGTGTGGTTCAGAACAAAATCAACGAAAAGGCGATAATAGTGTGTGCTCCGTCATAGTATTGGTTTTAAAGTGAACTGAGTAAATCATCGACTATTCGGAGTAAAGTAAAATGGGACAGTAAGATAAAGGAAGAGATCTGTAGCAGGACTGGAGACTAGGTTCCTCAGTGGTGCTTGGGTGGTTCTAAACTCGCTATATCACTGGTATTAAGCCATATCGGAGGAGTGGGGACATACACAGTGTAAGAATTGAACCGGAATAAAAGAACGAAAGAGATTTATTTCTCTCTTACGAGCTTTGTCCCTTTCCCTTGGACATCATGATGATTGCTTATGTGGTATTAGAGTTGCTTATATGGCGGCTAAAGGCTTTCCGCAATTTTAGAAAGCTCATTAAGGACAGTGAAATCAATTACTCCTTACTGAGGACTAAGAATAGAGACAGCAGAAGGAACTCCTACCTCAATGAAGACCAAATTAGATGGGAGCTGTCAGGTGGGAAATTAATACTCCATTGTTATTGATCTCAGTACTTCTCCGTCTTACACTACAATTTTCTGTTCACTGATCATCTTTTACACGGAAATCTCCTATTGCTTTCTTGACGAATTCGTTACTGATGAAAACAACTCTCTTTACTTACGACAGCATGAAAAGCAGTCTATCATCACTGCTACCGGACATTTCAGGTTGTTCGTTTTGGAAAGCATTTTCAGTTCGAGAAATGGCTCTGTCTTGAAATGTTGGAGAATTCATGAGATCTACAGAATGCTAAAATTACTCATAAATTGTCATCTTTCACAATTTTAGCAGCTATTTTCAGTAATATTTTCCTACAGTTGCTTTTATATACAGCTGAAATTTGAAAAGTTCAGCTTTCGGGTCATGTTAGCAGCATTTCAATTGATCTCTCACTTCTCTATCTCATCTTAACTTCCGCAGCTGTTGCCACATTACATGAGCAGTCTGAGCTGAGCCTAGGCCTGCTTTACTCCTCGATTAATGAAAACATCTCCGGTCAGGTCAAGTACGTCAGTTCCTGCTGAAAACCCTTCGCCGAACTACCGGACGCAGCAACGATTTGGAATTAAACTTTGCCATTTGTGCAGATTCACTCTCTTCCTTTCTTTCTCTGTTCCAACCTTCCTATCTCGAATTATATCTCAGACAATTTTCTGGAATAAGCTGAAAAGTGGATGTTTGTGGTTTGTTCGGCATCGCTTGAAGGTTGCTATGAGCAACCTGCCAGGTGTGTCCTCTCCTATTATCATCTCCTATCCCGCTGTAAATAACGGGGATGCATGCATGAATAAATCCAACAGAGTTATTTCATTTCCCGCAGTATTTCTCTCAAATCATCCATTTACCCGTATTGTTCCCTGTCACTCCATGTGATATCAGAAATTAGCTATTTGGTAGCGCCGTTGAACAATCCGGCTAAATCCGAGATCTGCTTTCCGTAAAGTAAAATCAACTGCAAACAGTGAGTGCAGTCTCTTCTTTTCTCGCATTTAACGAAATATTTGCCCGACAGGCGGATCTCGAATCATAATGATCAATTAATGCTTAGAGAAGACAAGAACAATGTTGAGGTTAGCTGCTAAGCACTAAGTGAAGAAGACGGATGTATTTCGTTTCGTTGACGTATCCGCGTGATTATACATACGTGTGTGTGTGTGTGTGATGTGACATGAACCAGCTATGTGATGATGGTAATGAAAAGTGTCATTTGCCGTGACAGGTAATTCTCGGCTTGGCTCAATTCGACTTGGCTCGACTCGTTCGAGTCAACTTAACTGCATCTGATCACTCTCAGAAACATGCACGGTTGTTCGCTACTTTCCCTCTTCCTCACATTTTTCTGCCAGCACTTTTCTACATTGCTCAGCTGTCAAATATTTCTACATTTTCATCGCTTACATTGACATTCTAATGTTCATTATTGTCTTTAGTGAATTTTGACGCGCTCACGTGATGACCTAACGTACGAGTGATTTGTTCCGTTGGCTTCAAGGAAATTAGTAAGGTGTAATGATACGTTCAAAGCACGAATAATAATGAATGGACAAAATAGAAAAATTCCAGGCTACGTCATTTCAGAAGTGAATTACTGTTCGGGAAATTTTAGGTAACAGTGCAATGGTACGATTTCACATCCGTCTCTTACCAATGATTTTGCTGATTTAAAAGAAAGGGATCTTTCAGTTGTTAGATGTGTAATAATAATGATTTGATCCCTGTAAAAAAATAAAGTCCTCGAAATCTTCAGCTTAAAAGCCGATATGATTTTGATATGACAGATAGATTTTGAAGGAACTCGAGAACCCGATACGATAGACAGATTTTGAAGGAACTCGAGAGTGACACTCGAGAGCCTTCTTTTTATGAGCCTTTTTCTCTACGATGTGATGCTGGCGACAGTGAGGTGACAGTGGTGATTTTTCGAAGCACTGGTGCTATTGATGATAATGGCAGTAATCAGTAGCGATAACTGGTTCTGATTCTGTCAGGAAAATAAGGCCGTCGGGTCGGGTTGGTCGGAGAGAGAGACATTCATTCAATTCACAAAATTCAGTGTACATAATGCTCTCTGGCATATATGCAGAGAGAGACAGAGAGAGACAGTCGGTATGCAGAATATGGAGTGACATTTGCAAGCAGGCGGACAGGTCGTCGATTAACTTTTCGCTTACCATGTTGGGTTCGGTCCGAGGTACCACCTGAGGTACACCTGATGGGTGAGGAAGGGCTGTGGAGAATCTCGGAAAGGTGGTTCCACTTTCATTTTTGGACGGTCTCTTTTCTGCTACCTGTTTCTCCTCTCACATTTATTCATCATCATCATCATTATCATTATCATTATCATTATCATTATTATCACCATCATCATCGTCATCGCCCATTCTTCAGTGTTTTGTTAAACGAAACATTTCCTGTATTTGCCTACTTCCCTTCCCTCCACAATAGCAGGAAAGTGACTGGTAGAGATTTCAAGAAACGCTCTCAGAAGTGCTACTTTATGTTTCGCGCAAAACTAATCTGTCCTCAAATTGCTGGAAAATCCTATCTTTTGAACACTGAATGATTGAAGGGAAGATGGAACATTGAACCGTAAATGTTGAATTGTTGACCTCATTGTCGGTAAGACGAGGTACTGTCATTTTCCAACAAATTGTTATTTGTCATCATTTCTCAAAATCTCTGGATCTGTCCAGTCGGTGATCAGTAGTGCGAACTCACTTCCACTCGCATTATAAAGAGAGAAGCTATATGCGACTTTATAAGAAATTTTCTAGTCCTTGACTATGTGTCACCATCTTTTGTCTTTTGTCCAATCCTCAATTTGGCTAGAGCTCATTGCAGTATATCTTTTACTTCCTCTTTTTTTTGAATAGTTCAATAATGTATGCTTTTAGAAGAGACAGTATATATTTACATTTCTTTCTTTGAAGATTTCATGTTCACATTGCAAGAAAACATAAGCTTTCATTTAAATGATAAGTGGTGCAAAGTTTATTTCATCATGGTAATTTGATGAACTAAGAATCAACCTAGAACTGTAGTGCTGTCGCATTAAAATGAAGTGAGAGATAAGAGAGTAGGTAGCAAGGTTTTTCAGCTAATTAATTATCATTCACTCTACGCTAGTCAATTAGACCACAGATTTCGAACTTTTTGTCGGTTTCAATTGTTTGACCTACACGATCCTCTTCTCAACAGCAGCAGTAGCTTATCGCTAACCCATCCGATTATCCTCTTGTCCGGTACTGGGGGTAGACGACGCAGGTGAGACACTGTCTCAAGTATCTCCGGCCAGGAAGCTCTTGGAGCATGAATGGCTTCAAGGCTGGAACTGGTAGTCTTACCGGGCAATCCTTTATCTGTAGCATTCACAGGTGGCATCAACTCTTGTTGATATCTGTACTCAGAAATGCTTCACATACTAGTTTTCGATATTTTCGATTTCTTTTTTGGGCGGAGAGTGGAAAGGGAAAAATGATAGCACTCGATGACAAACATAGCTGATATGACATAGAATTGAGAACAGTGGATGATCAAGTTCTGGTCGAAAGAGAGTGTGTTTGTATTGGTGTGCCCATCCTTCTGCCCTCACAATAAGGTCATCAGGGTCACACAGCAAGGACAAATGACTGTTTGGTCGAGGGAAGGTAACCGTCCTTCATTTGTGTGAGCAAAAAGGAATATGATGAGTATTAATTATATCAGCGGTTTGCTGACAGCGGGTTGAGCGGAAAAGCATAATATCGAAATGAGTGATGACGAATGTGCTGGGTTGTAGTGTGTTGTGCCAATGAAACCCACTGAATCGATCAAACTCGATCAGATCTTTTGATTGGATTAAATTGATTGATGCTGCTACTCCGACAACACTTCCATCATCCATCCAAAGTACTACTTTATAATTGGCCGTACTTAACTGCCACTAGCATTTCGGTCTTCCTTTCTTCTTCCTAACTGTTACACAGGAACGTCATTTCATTTCGTGAAAATATTTTAATCGATATTTGTTCCTTCCCGCATTCCTCCTCTCTTCATCAGTACAGAGCAGAGAAGGTCAGGAAGTATAAAGGTAGGGTTGTGTTGCTGCACTTCAACCTTATTTGATTATTTACGCAGCTGCTGCTTATTCATCCATTTGCTTGTTTGTTTGCTGAGTTATTTCAGTTCCTATCACCGAGTTAAATGTCAACTTACTGATCTAGCCGTTGGGCAGTTGTGGCCCTTATCTGTCACTTATCTCACTTCATATTCCAACCGGATTTTTCGACTGATGCTTCTTGCAGCGATCGGATTGATTCCAGGATTTCGTAGTCCTATCACTCTGTCTTTGAACCGGGATATAAAACTGACAAATTTATGACAAATGACTTAGGTAATTAAAGCAGTAGACGTACCAAAGTAAAACAAAAAGCAATTGCATGCCATCTCTCTTTCAGCAAACTCGTCGTGTCATGCAGGTGAGAGTGGACAGTCCCTCAAGTTAGACAGCCTTTCCTCTGCTAATATTATTCTCAGAAAGCGACAGTTGAAATGATAATACGCGTGTTGCTTTACGCTTGATGAGTAAGCATCCTTTCCTGCATGTTAACTCATTGTTTGGAAATAAGTCGTGTGACACGTTGGAGAGGTAGTTAGTGCAAGACTCGTCGTATGTTCCAGAAATAAGTCGTGTGACACGTTGGAGAGGTAGTTAGTGCAAGACTCGTCGTATGTTCCAGAAATAAGTCGTGTGACACGTTGGAGAGGTAGTTAGTGCAAGACTCGTCGTATGTTCCAGAAATAAGTCGTGTGACACGTTGGAGAGGTAGTTAGTGCAAGACTCGTCGTATGTTCCAGAAATAAGTCGTGTGACACGTTGGAGAGGTAGTTAGTGCAAGACTCGTCGTATGTTCCAGAAATAAGTCGTGTGACACGTTGGAGAGGTAGTTAGTGCAAGACTTGTCGTATGTTCCAAAAATAAGTCGTGTGACACGTTGGAGAGGTAGTTAGTGCAAGACTTGTCGTATGTTCCAAAAATAAGTCGTGTGACACGTTGGAGAGGTAGTTAGTGCAAGACTTGTCGTATGTTCCAAAAATAAGTCGTGTGACACGTTGGAGAGGTAGTTAGTGCAAGACTTGTCGTATGTTCCAGAAATAAGTCGTGTGACACGTTGGAGAGGTAGTTAGTGCAAGACTTGTCGTATGTTCCAGAAATAAGTCGTGTGACACGTTGGAGAGGTAGTTAGTGCAAGACTTGTCGTATGTTCCAGAAATAAGTCGTGTGACACGTTGGAGAGGTAGTTAGTGCAAGACTTGTCGTATGTTCCAAAAATAAGTCGTGTGACACGTTGGAGAGGTAGTTAGTGCAAGACTTGTCGTATGTTCCAAAAATAAGTCGTGTGACACGTTGGAGAGGTAGTTAGTGCAAGACTTGTCGTATGTTCCAAAAATAAGTCGTGTGACACGTTGGAGAGGTAGTTAGTGCAAGACTTGTCGTATGTTCCAAAAATAAGTCGTGTGACACGTTGGAGAGGTAGTTAGTGCAAGACTTGTCGTATGTTCCAAAAATAAGTCGTGTGACACGTTGGAGAGGTAGTTAGTGCAAGACTTGTCGTATGTTCCAAAAATAAGTCGTAACGTCTGATAGTTCTTTTCACTTCTTCGAGCTAAATCAGTGTGAAATTTTCATCGGTGTAAAGTGCATGTTTTGTTCTTCTTGCTTAAGCATAGTTAAAAAGCCACTTTGCCATGAGTGACCGACCGGCAGTCACCAGTGAGTCATTCGGTTGGTGGTATTCCTCGATTTGCTCCTTTGATGTTGTAATAGCGTCCATTTTATCTCGAAAGCTTTTTTATGATAAACCTACGACAGTACAGATGACAACACTAATGATTGTCATTGATGACTTGCACGAAGAATGTTGCGTGACGCTGTCTTTTGATCTGTTTCTGGTTGCATGGCGAATCGAGAATGCATCGAATGATTTGACAATGAATTCAACATATTCGAAGCTTTTTACCTTTCCATTTACTGTTTCAAAGGAAAAGAAAGAGGAAATCCGTGTTACCTCCAACCTTCGAAACTGAGAGAGAGATGACATTATGGACTGTAATGATCGTTACCTCTTATTGTCGTGTCACTGCCATGTTGATCCCGAGATGTTAACTTACGCTACTAGAAATGATCTTGCTGGACAGCCAAGAGACAACACAGTCGTTAGTGGCAGTTCCAAATGTACTGCTCAATATATGAGTGGCGGGAATGCTCCAGTCGACTATTGAAAGTGGGAAATATCGGAAAATGGATAGATTTATGGCAAAAGTTTATGGCAGGTAACGGTGAATGTAATGCAAGCCGAGAATGTCATCAGAATAGTGTTATCAACTCTGAATTCAGTGCAGTGTTGTAAGGATTTGGTCAGTGTGAATGTTGTGGTCAGTTAAGGGTGCAAAAAAATTATATGTTGATAAATGGTAGATAAGTAGATATAAGTTATATATATGTGGATGAATAAGTTTGACCGTTAGCGACAAACTAACCAACTTCTGGTCAGATTTCCTTCAATTCGGTTGAAAGTGTGAAGTAAGACAAAGGATCCACAGGTTCAGGATGCCCTGGAAGAAGAAAGAAGAGCGATTCTCGAGAAGTCTGTTTCTGTTTCTTCAGAAATATCTGCAAATTCCCATAAGGTAGCCGACACTCCCTCACCGCTTGTGTACTTTCAACACACACTCAAACAGTACTTACCTTCGGGAGTGTGACGTGCTTGTGCTGTGTAATTCCATTGATTGTTTCCAAAATTTCATCTCTCCTCCCTGAGATGCATTCCTCTTTTCCTGTCCTGTCAGTCTGCCAGCTAAATAGTCCCTCTTCTGGTCTCCGTGTTTTTTTTTTCTTATTCAAGAATGAGCCATATTTTGACGTATTACAACTGTCACGTGTTTCTATGCATCGTGTGACGTTTACATACCTGAATCAGTAGTGACTCATTCTACGTAACCTTATAGCACTAGCAACTCTTTTCACCTTGGAGAGAATCGTTGTGTTATCTATTTAATAGTGATGAAATATTTGTTTGCACAATTCAAATTTCGCTTATGTGTTGTTTTGAAAATTTGTAAGTTTATTTAAATTGTAGTCAGTTTAATCTTCTTGAAATTTTGATGTGCTCTTTTTATTTCTTACTCGTATGAAGTTCTCGTGAACAGGAAAAAGAGCATTGCTTCTGATCTTGAAATACAGCAGTTGTTGACCAGCGAACCTTTTTGCTACATTCACTTTACTGCTAACTTGTTGTCTTTTCCAATTTCAGTGCTTCCTTTTAGCCAACTTTCTGAAAATATTCTTTGAGGCTTATTTTTATAAAAATGACACTTCACTGTTTCATCTGAAACATTTAATCTAGCCAACAATGTTAGAAAAGAGATCCGTCAGTGCTTCACTGCATGGGAAGACACATCTCTACCATTTGTTCCGATTGTTTCCCTCTTCAATTGTTACTTACATTCAATTTGTTTCCATCCACGTTGCAAAACGAAGATAGTTTGCTGTTAGTTACACGTATCACGTTTAATACGTATACGAAAAAGATGTATACTGTGACTAACACATGAAAGGTTTTAGAATAACTGATTACATACTCGTTTTCTGATGCGCTCATTGAACATTCGGTAGATGAAATACTGCGCCGTTTCGAGCTCATCTGCTACGTTGGTGGTAATTGCAGTGTCACACTCCATGGCCTCTTTCGCAACTTACCTGCTTGTCAACCGATTCATTCACCGATATCACAAGCAGTCTGCTCGGGACTGAACCCGAGACTGAGACTCTTCTCTCTTTCCTCCTCCCAACCATGATACACGGATGCATACAATACATTTAGACTTCTTATAAATTTCGGAACCTTCAGCAATACCGCATGCGTTATCTGCGTGACGGTTCGTTGACTCCGCAGTTCACTTCTGTCACGGTGCCTTATTTATTCCTGTTTGATTGATGCATTCAATGACATACGAGATGCGGGTGTCTGTGTCTGTGCATGCATGTATATGTATGTATGTGTGTGTGTGGGTATGTTTTAATATCATAGCAAAATTATTTCATCAGTAACTCACACTCACGCGTTCATCTCAATTTTGTCTCTATAGAAATAGATTAAACGAAATTTGACGGCGTCTGTCTTTTTTATCAAACCAAATTAAGAACTGATTGTCGGTTTATTCCTGTGCACCTGCACATAAAGTCTAAATTAAAACTTTGATTGATACGCTTGCTGACGTGTCATCACTACCATTCCTGCTTTTCTTCACAGGTAGCCGTACTCATTCATTTTGTGCTACTCTTGAAATACAAACGTTTCAAATTTCTGGAATTCTTGAAAAATTTCGAATGAAATTCAATCAAATTAAATCCTTCTAATCAAATTCACAATTAATAAAACTAAATGTTAATTGTCATAATTTGTAGATTCGTGGTAATTCTCTTCATATCATTGCCCATAATATGATTCCTTACCAATTTGAATAATTTATAATTCTTAGTTAAAGAGAATTTAATTTTGAACTTTATGCATCACATTGCTGCTTACGTCGTATATCACTTAGCTTCGATCAAAAATATATCAGCTATTTCTTGTGTTAAAGAGGGATGTGACACGGTAGGCTGATAGCTTAATACAATTACTATTTCTAATTATTATGGCAGCATGTGAATAAAGCGGGAAGATGAAACGGCAAAGCAAAGTCTCGAAAATGTCTTATTTAAGCAAAGTCTGTATTAATTGTTCCTTTTATCATGCATGCGACCACTTTTGTTGTATAGCGTTTCGCGGTTATTTATTTCTAAATATGCAAATTTTCAGCTTCTAATGGAAGAGATAATGTTAGCGATTGGTTGATTTTATACTTTCTTTCCTTCTACTCAACTCATCATCTTCCTTAACTCTACTTGAAAACAGTCATTTTACTGATAAAGATGTCCTGTAATCGATAAACCTTCCCGTTGAATCGCATACTGAATCGACTATATCTCTCTCGGTATTTTTCCCGAGAAAATAACGCAGTTACTGGTGACATAACTTGGACACAAGGTAAACAACAGACGTACCTCACGTCTATATTCAGTAGGAAGCATATAATTTCAAAGGTAGATATTTGTTCAGCTGGCAGTATTGCACTGCGCAGTACTGTCGTCGATTGAGGAGAATAAGTGGACGAAGTGAGTATTATGAAAATTGCGACAAGGTAGATTAGGTGAACTATGAGAGATGCTCATCACCGCCAAGTCAGTAGTAGCAGCTCGAGCTCTGGCTTCGACGCTTCAGTCTTGCGCTTCAATGAAGAACCATTCGAACAACGTTATGAAATTGCGGAAGAACTCGGGAAGTAAGTGCTTCTGCTTCTGCGTCTTTCACGCAAATGTGATTCCGTTCCTGTTATAAGTGATTAGCATCCTTTTGTCCATTATTATTCATTCCATTATACTTTCAATCTGTGCACTAACTCCTCGGAAGAGTATTCCAAAGTCAAAACATGAAGCTTTGCTCATAGAAACTTAGTTTTCCTTCCGGAACAATGCATATCAACAAAGATGGCATTAAAACAATGTTACTAAAAGCGGTTTGATATCATGAAAATTTTCTTTTTAGGTCATTAAAGACCACTTGGTTAGTCCACATTAATGCTTATATCCGTTTTTATGACGTGATTTTTAGCGGACAATTCGCGGTTGTTCGACGAGTGATTAATCGATCGTCTGGTGAGCAGTTCGCAGCAAAATTTATCAAAAAACGACGCTACGCTACCTCTCGTCGTGGCGTTACACGTTGTAATATCGAACGAGAAATTGATGTGTTGCGAGCTGTCGGTGGATATGAATATACCATTAAACTGTTTGAAGTGTACGAAACTTCTTCTGACGTCATCCTGGTCTTGGAACTGTAAGTTTTTCACTTAGGTATAATCTTATTGGTATCACTTATCAAACTGGGCTAGTGACATTTCAACGTCAAATTAACCAAACCATTATTTGTTTATTACTTCGTGGTGCTAACTTGGCTAACTTCATATTTGCTATGAACCGAGACTTTCTCTTTATTGAAGGTGCGGGCAGGGTACGTGAAGTTTGGAGTCCAAGAAGCTAAGTTCTCCTTGCTTCCTCTGGAGCTAAGATATTGTCAACAGAAGCAAGTGGAGTGATCAGTGCATCAATGCGACTACAGCAGCGGTCCCTTTCATCTAGTCCGCAGTTCCTCCCCTTCTTTGAATGTTTTCATTGTGAATCTGAATCTCCAGTTGGTGGGGTGACAGAAATCTTTTAGTGAATATCTGATATCTGACATTTTATGCCGGCTATCAGTGAGCTGGCAAAAAGGAACCATACCGCTTATCATAACAATTCATGATATCACTATTGATAATTTGAGAGTTACATTGCACATTATACTATCAAACTATTTCTGTTTATCTTTCTGTAATATAAAAAAGTTTTTAGACGATTAGATGATATGGAGAACTGAATGGTATTATCAACGGGAGTAGGATTTCTTGGGAGAAGGAGAAGGGGAGAGGTGAAAGAAAAGTTTTTGTTGAGGCGGTGAATCCGCGAATAAACAAAAATCGAAATGAATTGATTATAAATAGATTCAATTAAACTTTTTGGGTAATTTTAAGAGTGTCGGGAGGTGAATTGTTCGACTATGTCTCAGCTAAAGAGTGCCTTGGTGAAACTGAAGCAGCAGCTTTCATTGAACAGATTTTACTTGCTATCAAACATCTGCACGATAATCATATCGTTCATCTGGATATTAAGGCAAATTTGTTTCACTTTTCTACCACTCCTTACTCTTTTTTTCAAAAATTTCTTTTCGAGAGTTATACTTTTTTCTTTTAAGATTTGCGGAACTTTATTATTATTAGATATTTTTCATATCTTTAATTATACTGAACACTTCATCCGATCCTGGTCAACTAATCCAATTCCACCCTGTCTAAAGACTGCTGTCGTTCAAGCGAGCTTTCTTCTTTCCAGTTTAAAGAATTAAATTTTATTGTAGCCAGAGAACGTAATGCTCAGGAGGAGAGGCGAGTCTAAAATTAAGCTCATCGATTTTGGTCTTTCAAGAAGGATATTGCCGGGAACCGTTGTTAAAGATATGATAGGTACACCGGAATTTGTGGGTAAGTTTATTTTAGTTGCCTCCTTGTTGTTCTTCAGCGAACAATTATTTGCAATTACTTTTCTGAATGAAACTGAGATATAGAAGGATAACAAATGGTTCTATATTCACATTTTCTTTCTATGACACTAATGCTGCTGCATACATGGCATCCATCAGTACCGTCCTTCAATAAGTTTTATAAGTTAGGTAATTAAGGTTTCTTTCTCGAAATGACAGTTATACATTCCTTTTTGTTGTTTAATTTGTTGATTAAATTTTTCAGCTCCCGAAGTGGTCAATTATGAACCCTTGTCTTCCGCCACCGATATGTGGGCATTGGGCGTTGTCACCTATATTTTGTTAGTTTGTTATGCGTTTTTACAGATTTCTTCAGCAAGAAGCTCAGTATATCTCATTGACAAACAAATCCTACAGCTATCCTACTTTTGCTTTCTTTATATGTTTGACCGATAAGCTTGTCACTTCTCTTCAAAAATTTCAGGTTAAGTGGTGGTTCACCGTTTCTTGGTGAAACGCGCGATGAAACGTTTGTAAATATATCAGCTGTAAATTATCACTTCAGCGAGCGTTATTTTGAACATATTTCACCGTATGCAAAAGATTTCATTAGTCGCCTTTTTGTTCGGGATCAGCGTAAACGAGCCACGGTTGATGAATGTCTTGGACATCCCTGGATTCGAGGCGTACGTTCTTCATCACTTTTTTAGCACCTTTTTCTTATTTTATCAAAAGCTGTTTTATTCGGATTGGAGATTTTTATCGAACTAAGAATATAAAGGAAGTTTTTGTTAGCGTATGCGGAATTTCATTCCTCTTTAAGAAATTATTCGCCATCCAAGATTTGATCGTTCTTCGAGTGTTATTTCACCTTCATAGAAATGTCGGATATTCCGTTATCTTTTGCTCGATTCATTTATCACCTGTATACGCACATATAAATAGGTATATCAAAATCTAACCTATTCAACAAAGAGTTGAATAGTCTTTGATATTAAGAAACCCTATGGATACACAGCTGTTCATCCTTTCCCTGTTAGTCCAGATTGATTTCAGTAAAAACGGTCAATCATTAAAGGGGAACAGAAAATGAAAGTTGAGAAAGTGAAAGAAAGAATTTTCGGACTTGCAAAATTTCAATTCTTTTATAGAAATATATTATTGACGCTAAAAGTTCATTCTGATCTGAAACTTTCTTCGCTACCCCAAAAGTGGAAATAAATTAAAAGATTAATGTTAAAGTTTGAATTAGGTTAATTTTACAAAGTGCAAACTTCATTTGCCAGATTATTTTTTTATTAATTCTTCCTTCAAAAGTGAAATATTAGATTTGCGACAATGTAACGACAATGTATATCAAAATATTTGATTTTTTGTTGTTGTTGTCGATAAGACTATTACTAGGTGATAGAATGATCGTCTATGAACAGCACTGACTATTTACTCATCTTTTCATCTATGATCTAATTGCTATCTTCTTACAGCCCGATGAATTGGCTAATGATGTTCGCCAGTACTCGATGATTTCTATGGCACAAATACGTTCTTTCAAAATACGTTTAAGATGGAGGGTATTTATTTATTTATTCAATCTTACAGTAAAATGACATAAGCCAGCTATTGCTATATTTCTTTTTGCAACTTCGAGACTTATGTATGACACCAATTTGAATACAATCTTTCTGATCATTTTTCCTTGTAAAATTGACTCTTTTTCTTTGAGATTAAATTAGAGAATTAAAATGTTTGAGTAAATGGGAATGTAATAGTGAAGTGTGGGAAGTGTTAGTAGAATAGAATTTCTTGGTTCTTTATTTTCAGATATCTAATAGAACGGAAATGAGATCAAAGGAAAGGCGAAAGAGGATTTTGGATTTTTTTTTAGCAAAATTTAGCAAAAAAATAATAGCACCTTTTACTAGTTCTCGAAGCTTGCAAAGACTATTCAGTTTCTCATGAATTTGAAAAATTTCCATTTTTCCGTTTTCCATGAAAATTTTCTTTCCATCATACAATATTTTTTCTTTTTTGAAATACTGTGAATTTATTTCGCGAAAAGCTGGTTGTTTGCTGAACGATCGGATTCCTTGATCTTGTTTACATATTAGGAAAAGAAAGTTATTTGCTTCTGTTTTAATTTCTGGTTTGAATTAGAATAGCAACGAAGAGCTGTGTTTTAGAGAGTTGTGGATATTGTAATAGCCTGCAATAAAATGACCGCAGACGCACGATCCGCCGTTCGAAAGGCTTTGGAAGCTGGTCGGTCGGTCAGTTCACGATTCGATCCTGTAAGTTCCTCTTACCCACCTTATTTCGAGATTCAATTTCTGCAAATGAACAAGAGAAGTGTGTTCGTTTGCGTGCTGTCCAATCTAACCGCAATCATTTCTGCAGTATTTGCATTATGTGTCCGAGTTCTTTTTATAGTCTTTGATTGAAAGTGACTATAAAAAAGGTGAAATAACGTGTAGCACTGCTACATTAGCCGTGCTAACGTGTTCGTCAAGTGTTACAGTTGCTTATCCCGTGTCTTACTCTTCTTTACACCTAATTAGGCTTGGATACTGAAAGAAATGAAATGAGCCAATGGTCTGCTCACCTAGCTGAAGCACTTAAGGTAACTTTAAAGGACATAAGTCGAAATCTGTCTCAGTTTTCGCTTCTGCAAAATTCTCTCCAGTCTCATTGTTTTGTTTTTCCATGTTTTGTACGACTTTACTACCATATAATGACGTGATTTACTTGTGATTTCTACCAACCTACAGGAAGAACTAATTGTCTCAGCAATGCTGGTTGCATGCGAGGAAGGTAATTTGGCAGGACTTGATCAATTGGCTGTACTTCATCGAATCAATTTGAATATCGCCAATCGAGTAAGGTTTATAAAGATAAGGTTTGACATGGTACTATCACTGATCATCCACTTTATTGTCACTCTGAACATTCCAGCAATGTTTATGACATCTTAGGTCACAGGTCACACTAAGCACTTCTTGCAAGTTAAAGTTTTCTCGAAATGAAAAAAGTGTAAATTTCGATTTCCTATGCAACAACAATCTCTCTGTTCAATATCAGTGAAGCTTAATATAGCTGAACAGAAATCGGTTCGTTTGTTCTTGTTAGGAGTGCTTCAGATGGGTGAGACAGCAATACACGTAGCCGCAGGTGCAGGACAATTTGACGTTGTGCATTACTTGCATATGAAGGGTGCTGCACTGGATGCAGCGGATGGACGGGGTGACACTCCGCTGTTTTGGGCTACACGAAATGGTCATGCTAATATTGTGGGTTACATTACCAACGAGGAAAGTGTCAACATTAATGCTGTCAATAAGGTTTGGCTTGATTTATTGTCCATTCATGCTCTGTATTTTGTTTTACTTATGGATAATAGCTTCATTGATAGTTTCGCTAGCAGAGAATTTCCAGTGGCTATCTGTTTAGCTAGAAGAAACTTTTTGATTCTTTGAAATAAATATTTGACTGCCTTTGCTGCCTTCTGATGCTTTTCAGTCGTTCCTAGTAGAATGCTCAAGTTACTATTGTTAGAGTACTCACTTCCGATTATTATCAAATAAAAACAGCCATTTAAAATTGTTGATATTGATATTTGGGTTGGAGAAGATAAGATTGATCTGAGTTGTGGAATATTGCAGAATAAAGAAAGTGTACTGCATGTAGCAACTCGTTATGCACAACTTGAATCGGCGCTACTGTTATTAGAACGTGGAATTAACTCATCGCTGCAGGACGAGGTATAATTGAATGTTTCTTCAAGTATTTTTCTGCAAATAGAACACTAACTTCTATTACTTTTTTGATATTGCAGCATAGCGAGACAGCATTGCACATTGCAAGCTGGCATGGATATGCAGCACTTCTCGAGATATTGTGCAGGTTTAACCCACCTGTTCATCTCAAAAATCAGGTTCGTTAGAAGTTCTATCTGTGCCAGTGATCTCTGTAATATCAGGATGACAAAAATTTTTAATGGAAATTACATTCCGTCAATTCTCACTGAAATTCTAACTGCAAATAAAATTGAAGGCAGCTCACTACTCTTGTCTTACTTTGTTTCTGGAAGATTCGGAGAAAGAGAGAAGAAGAAAGAGAGAGCGAAAAATTTTGTAAAATTGTCTGAAAAAGGCAATCCATCCACTCACCATGACATCTTTTTCATTTGGAAGTACTCGCAGAGCTTCTGTAAATGTCATCTTCTCACGTCTGTGCTACATTATCCATAAATTACAACAAATTCTAGATAGATAAAATTCAACTCATTTTCTAATCTAAATAGTTGTTCTATGCTTTTATGTTTTTTCGTTGACATATTTGGTGTTGCTATGTGTTGCTAACGTGTCATTGTGGCTATGTCCATTCAAATTTTAAACTTTGACCATGAAAATATTAAAAGTTCAAGGTTATAATATACCTGTCGGGCTGAAAAGAAAAGACGTTCCAATATTCTGTCAGGAAGGGTTGGATAAACAGTTCTTCAGAATTAAGAGTAAGATCTTATTCTTAATTCTGAAGCCTAAGCCCCTTTGTGATATAATCAAATCTGAAATGCTGTAGATTTGAGTTTCAGATTTAAATTCAAAATTTGTGGGGTCTTAGCCAATGCGCTATTTGATAAATTTCTTTTCTTAGTAAAATTCCATGAATTACTATTTTGCTTTTTTTTTTTTTTTTTTGATGTGTGGTTTCGGTGATAGAATGATATCCAGTAAAGATGCATAAGAGAATTCCTCCGGGACAAATTGACGAAAAACTTGACTGAGGACTACTTGCTCGACTTATCCAGCACAGTTATTGTTTAGTTATGCTTTAATCGATGAACATTTCTTCTCGTTCATTGCTGCTTTTTCTGTTTGGAAGAAATTAGAATTTTCTGATCATTTTATGACTACTACCACGTGTCTTTACTGGAGGTTGCTCTATCAGGGATATATTCCCACGTACTCGGATGGGTCGTACACCTGAGATCATTTTAATTGATGATGATCATCGGGATGACGCAATGGTCGTCAACCTTGGATTAGATGAAATTTGAGGACAACTTTCTCAGTGGAATGGATTTCCCAAAGTTCATTTCACTTTATTTCTAGTAACAACGAGTAACTATGACAACTGGTTGATGAGATGATATGCCGCCGCTTGTTCTATCGAAATGCCTTCTCCTTTCTCCTTGGCCACTGAGCTGAGCCTATTCTCCTCCTGCAGGAGGCACAGCCTAAGGCCAACTACCTTCATTTATGCCTCTGCTATGCACATATCGAGCATGGAGATAGATGTAGATCTGTCCATTTGTATTCAAATTTATTGTTCATGCAGCCATAAAGATTGTCTACTGTCCTCCTTTCTCCTCTATCTATCTGTCTGTTCATTCCCTTCTTTTCATGGAGAGTTTCTATTAGCCGGATTATTTCTATTAACCGGTTTAGAGAGATATTCACAGTAGTTCCTTTCTAATGATAGTTGATTAACATCAGTGGCGATATTTCTTCCAGTTTATGAAGGGATTACAATTATTCGGTATGATTTGGTGTGTGATTTAATGGTGATAATAATAAAAGTATGAAATAATTGTCTCTTTGCTGATATCACCAATTATTTACAGAAGAACGTCCTGTTCTCCTTGTTTCATTGGCAAACTACGTCCATTATGGCGTTCGAATTATCATTTCGTTCTTTCTCCGGAACACTTCGGTTCCATCTAAAAATGTTTTATCCGCTTTGATCACCCATTAGCTTATCATTTCCTTGACATCCAGACTTTTTCCTTCCCCTCTTCTCTTTTTCTCATCGAGAACACATGCATTTTTGTCACATACTCATAGTGCACTCTTACTTCCACTTTTTCTTCATCACATATTTGTACCCGGGTTGCTTTCCCGTGAGCAACATTTAATTTAATTCAATAAAAACATTTATTTGCATATTTTATCTCACTACATAATTTTACAATAATTGGCTCCGCGGTAGAGCTTCACTGCATTGTGACATCCTCAGTGCACTAACCAAGGAGGATAAAAGATGAATTTGATATTCCAAGCACTGGTAGGAGAGATGGGTAGTAACAGCGGTTTGTGAAAATCTCCATGGTGATAGTGAATTTTTCACCCTTCAAACCAGTAGTACTTTAGATTTCTACTCTGGCGTAACACAATCTAGAGTGTCAATCTATGCTGATATACTTGACCTTTCACCTTCACTTTTTCACTCTTCGGCATACACAACTATCGCTTCGACATGAGAATCCCATCGTCCAATCAGATATTTGTATCCATTACCTGGTCATCCCTCTTGCTTTTGTGGTGCGATTGTGGTTAAGAATCGTTGAAGGAATTCAACGTAGTCGTGAATTTGAGCAGTCCGTGAATCGACGTGATTCGAGGTAATTTCACCATTCTACGCTTCATATCATTCCATTTAGCTGCAGCTCCGATGATCGCTGATCAGGCTGCTGTATCGTCACAAATGCATTCCCTTGTTGCTCATATTTGGTACACAGCTGTATATCTGGTATGGAGCGGTCCAAGAATCGAGAAATCTCTTAGGTGTTAGTGGCTCGAGATCAATGCAGATTGGTACTATCTCACCACCTCCGTGTTCACGCTTAACACCCGTTACAACGAAATTTATTTCACTCATTACTGATATGCATCAAGACTGGGATCAATATTGTAGTTCTGCAACGGTTAGTCCTTTAACGGACCTTTACTTTTATTCAGGTAATTTATCCTGATCAAGTAAGTGTCTGTAAAAACGGTCGATAATAAGTGATAAAAAGTATTCATTTGACAGTTCTGCGAATGACTGCAAGGCATAGTACGGTGAGATGTTATCTGAAGTTTCAATGATGTACATATTTAGCTGCAATTTTTACGAACTTTTATGGGCAAAGTTTTTTTGAGCAACTCCTTGATGTTTTGAAAAATCACCAGAAGTAAGTCACTTTATTGTCTTCATTTCATCTTTTCGTAACAGAGAAATGAATATTTTTCTTTCCGTTGTCTCAATTGCTTCTTTCTTCTTTTAACCTTCATCAATGAAAATGAGGACTCTGTCCGATGATCATTTACTGAAGACTGATTGGCTGAATAGTAGACAGCTGGATAGATACATGAAGGAATATCTTTCACAGATTGCACTGAAGTGAAAGACCATGCTGATGACACAGAGCTGTTGACAGTCTTTGACACTTTGACAGTCTTTTCGTAGAGTTTTTGTTATTGATCAGTTTCTGCTTCTTTCGTTTTCATTATTCTTCTTATGGTTGAATATTTGTGGCATCAGAAAGACTAAATTAGTTCGGAATTACAGCACTTTTCCCTGTGCACCGTATATAATCTTATTTCCTTTCTTTGTTTTTGTGGAACACATATTTGTTATGTTTGTTATGCACTGGTACTGGAAGAGAATCATTGAATATTTCATCAGGTAAACTTCAGTTTTCAAATTGTCTCTTCAGTTGTTAATATCATTTCTTCCTCATCCTTTTGACTGCCAAGAGACGACCGATACGACCCAATTCCGGATGGACTGATAGTCATCAATAGAATAAGTGAAGTTATATGTTTATCTAGAATGAGGTATTTCCTTTAGTTGTGTTTGCTATGAATATGTCAACGTTCTTTATTTGATTAAAAATTGATCGCATGTAATATTTTCTCTGTACAATGATACTAATGATAGCAACGGTGCGGACAGGTATTGACCAACCAATTTCAAATAGGGATGGAGTAGTTCAAGAGCATTTGAAAACTTTCAGTATTTGTTATATTTTAATCCTAAATCTATTAAATTATGAAGGTAAGATTCACTACTATGTGTTTGTATTTCAAATTAACACCTGTTGCCTATACGAATTACCTCTCTTAATTAGCACTATATTCAGCAACTTCACAACTCTAATAGCATCATCAACAAACAACTCATAAAAATCTCCCAGCCTATAAAATAGCACACGATATTGATAATGAGCTTTTAGATTCAAATATTTCTCCATCACAGGAGTGCTTTTTTTCTCTTACGAAGTTTATAACATTTTTAAATACGTGCGTTAGCAATAGCTTTATTATATGGAAAGTATAGAATTTATATAAGAATACTTTATACTATGCAAAGGTAATAAACTAACTACCATTTGCGGAAGATGCAAATGTAATCTTTTTGCCAAACTGATTAAGGACGGAGCTATTAAATAATACATCAAAATAAATAATCGAAATGTACGGAATGTTTTTAGACATTTCTATGTGGGAAACTTTTAGTCATTGTTTACAATTTAAAAGCAATCAATTTTGGAAGTAATGTTTGTGTGTTTGGTATTGCCTTGTGTGTGCACTCGCTGATTCAGGAACATACTTTCCGGATTGCGACTTGCAGGCTTCATCATGAAATTTTGCTTATTGTCCTGTCCATTATGCCTTACGTGTCTCTCTCCTTGTGGTTCTCTTTTCCTACATGTAATCTTCACTTCTGAAATAACCAGACAGTCCTGTCGGCGACATTACATCCCGAAGAAAGAAAAGTTTATGTTGCACTTTAAGTGCTTTCCTCCTTCAAGGATCAATTTTTAGAGTGTTGCAAGGGTTTGTGGAGAGAATACGTTGATGGCTGATTAACCGATTCCATTCCAGGATGGCGAGACGGCTTTGCATTGTGCAGTGGCTCGTGGCCACGTGGAGTGTGTCCAGTCTTTGCTGGATGCCGGAGCACCGGTAGATGCTGTTGACCAGGTTAGTTAGTATTAATTTGTGAGCACAATTCTTCATCCGCACTCTTCTTTCTTGTTCATAATTAAAGTGTGCAATGCGACAAAGTTGAAATCACATATTGGTCAGCGCTATTAAATGCTAAAACTCCCATAAAGTTCTTAGAACAAGAATGTACGACATTTCTCAACTGTAGGAAGTTTTATCTAGCAGTTTAAAGTGGCAAGATCCAAGGTGGAATAATTTTAAAGGGAATATTGTTTGTAATCACCTAACTTACTATCATAATTCTTAATCTACCTTCTATCTGGTAAAGCGAACGTATTTGGTAAATGATTGCACAGAAAGACTATTCTAAAGATGGATTTACTGATTTTCTGACTTATTTGAAGAAATATTGAAACATATGAGCCTGCATAAATTAATTGGCGATCTAATAGTGGTCATTGATTTGGATAGTAGTTATTGTTTTGGGTAGTAGTTATTGATTTGGATAGTAGTTATTGATTTGGGTAATAGTTATTGATTTGAATGGGTGGAAATTATTTTGAATTTTAGTCTTTCCAAATCCTTTTTTTCCTTTTTTCCAATTGGTACTTTGTTTTTATTTGTTTGCTGCTTGCTTTCTATGATTTTTGTATTCGTTTTTAGTTCTGCTATAAAAAAAAAAAAGAAATACGTTTTCATTTTCTGTTTCAAAAATTTGTCACTTTCCGATAATGTCATTCACTAGAGACTGTCAAAGTCGATAACATGGGGTTCACTAATTATTTCTTGTAATGTGTTTGATGTTAGCGCTATAATTGACTCTGTCTGCCATCTTTTCTCTCCCGGAAGTTATTCCACCACATTAGCTTTTTCCTCTCAGAATCATTCACGACATGAATTTCTTTCCATGCTAGACAAAGTAAAAATACCTTTATTTTCTGTTAAAATTTCTAGAGCTTATAAAAGAAAAGAGAATATTTTGAGTATATATTTATTTGTATTTTCTTGAAAGTACCTATACAGGACAATCTTTCTGAATTATTGAAATTTAGTGATTTAAGAATGTCATGCAAGTTTACTTATACAAGTTTTTGTACGTTTTCAATTGGGAAAAATCTGACTGATTAATAATCTAAGCAATTCAGTGCATTTGATAAAAATCTCCAAGTTGCTTCGAATTCTTAACTGTTTAAAAATGTTTAACGCTTTTTTCAGGTCGGACAAACAGCGCTACATCTTGCCTTGAGACGTTCGCATATTGATATTGCATTGCTTTTGATAACAAAAGGTTGCAAATTGGATGTGCAGGATGAGGTTGGTTGAATATACATTTATATTGCATGGCGAGATGTCAATGACTCAAGAATTAGCAAGATTTCAAAAAGTTCCTGGGTCCACTTAAGCTGTGCTGATAGCAGACGATGTCGCAGCAGAGATGATTGGTCAGGGAAATTTATTTATGTCCGTCATTTATTCAATCTCGACCCTTCCTTTGATGGCGGTGGCGGTAGCAGTGGTGGTGGCGGTAGCAGTGGTGATGGCGGTAGCAGTGGTGATGGCGGTAGCGGTGGTGATGGCAGTAGCGGTGGTGGTGGTGGTGGTAGATGTTTTCTATTGAAAAATGCTGCAACTTATTTCCACCTCACTTCCTTCCTTATTTTTCACTGAATACATCAACCAGTCTCGCTTACATCAAAATTTATCGTTCTTTTAAGAATGATGCTGGTTGCATATGTTATTGTATATAAAAGAGATACCTGTTAATGTTAATGAGAGATATCGACCCACCATGCCGTCTCTCTGTTTTTCACTCTTTTCTTCTCTCTTCTTCAGTTATTCTCCAAATCTAAAAAAGAAGTGTGCTTTTTAGAATGGTGACACGGCTCTGCACATCGCCTCTCGCATTGGACTTCTGTCGGCTGTTCAAACGCTTTGTCATCTTGGTGCTGTCATTGACGTTGTTAACCAGGTTCGATCTTTTCCTCTTCCTTTTAATAGATAATCCAAAAAATTGCACTGAACTGAGATTAGAAGGTGACATTACTTCTGAAGAGAGTATTTGACACTGCTTATTGCATGGCCATTGATCTAAGAGCCTATCGTGGAGTACTCATTTGCAGTGAAGAGAAGATTATCGATGTGAACGAACAGAAGAGTTTTTCAAATGAAAGTTGAAAAACCCTTCCGCATAGTTTTGCTTTCTTTCCTTTCCTATTTTGTGACGAAGGCTACTTGTTGATATTCCTACCCATATAATGTGCATCTGTGTATGTGTATGTGTGTGCATCTATGTATGTGTGTATGTATGTATGTATGTGTATGTGTGTGTGTGTGTGTGTGTATGTGTAGTATAGATATATTTGACAGCGATAATTAATGACAAAAAATGAAAAATCGCAGAGGAAACACGATAGAGATGAAAAAAAGCGATGAAAGTTGTGAAGACATATAACCATTAGCAGTAATACATTTGGAAAAATATTTTGTTTTGATGAAAATTCCTATAATATTGTCGCACGAAAGCGATAAAATAATATCGTTTGTTGTTTTCTCATTCAAAAGTTTTGCAGGTGGTATACGAATCTTACAAGTCCATTTCTTAAGTATAACTGATCTATCAGACAGATAAATGAACTTTTTTTAATTTGAAATCGTCTTTGTGAAAGTAGCGAAAATTTGACCTAATTTGGATATGAGCTGAGGGATAAACTGGATGATTTAGTTCCATTTGCGCTCATCTTTCCAAATTAATTGTTCTGTTATACCTTTCAAGTCAGTGGTCGTAGACGATATATCGTCACTGTGAAAGTTTAAGAAAAAAAGAAGTAACGATCAGCTTTTGCCGTCACTTTTTCAACTCAACTATTTGAATATTTAGCAGTCCGTATTGAAATTAAGTTTTTTCTAGTTCCAATTCTTCCTTAGAACATAAAAACTGGCACAAATTAAGATGAGAAGAGAATCCTACTCTTCCTTTGAATGAGTTATTCATCGGTAATAGTGATGGAAGGTGTTTACTCACCGTTTGCTAGTAAACTTATCGCATCAATCAATGATTTCCTCTGCCTTATCATGTTTGACTTATAAGTTCGGCAATTTTCGTACTTTGCTGTGCTCAATTATTACAGTCACTTTATTGGTTGTATTTTTTGATGATATACAACGACATTAAATTAAACGGTCATAAATCCGTTGTAATTCGTCGAACCATTCCTTTCCTCATTATCATTGTCACGTTCTGTACTGTTTTTATCGTATAACGTGTTGCTATCACTTAATTTTTGACGTGATTCCGTTAGACATTAGGCCAAAACGCATTTCTGCAACAAGTAATTGCTCAATGGTCAATGAATTTCTGTTCTGCATTCTTTTTAACTAACTGATCGATAGAGTTATTTCATCGAGCTGTCACTGCAACACTGTCACCAATACCTCTGAATGTCCCGTTCGCCATACATCGTGTCGCATACGGTATGCTAATGGTTCCGGTCATTCTCTTCAAATGCAGCAACTTCATTAAAATCTTTCGTTTCCGTACTCCTTTGCACTGCTCTAAACTTATGAAATTGACAGGATGAGCAGTTGATCTCGTTCTACTGGTTGACAATTCTGGAAACTAGCAGTGCCAGCTTTGTTATTACCAATAGTTAGTTCAGGAAAGAAATAAAATTAACGGATTTTTCTGCTCTACTTGATTGCTTTTCTTGAATTTTGCTTATATAATTCATATAGTGATCAGTTTATTTCCTTTTGTTATGACCTTAAAATTATTATCACTTCACATGTGATACTTATGGTGCGTACATGGTGTTAAGAAATTTGTGCAACTTGTATGAAATTAAAGGATGGCACATTCCTTTCGTAATTTCTAGGGTTATTTTTCATTTCAGAATTCATTGACACCATTGCATATCGCCGCCAAAGAAGGTCACATTGAAATTATTCGCTGTTTATGCTTATTTGGTGCCAACGTTCTTCGAAAAAATAAGGTACTGGAGCTGTTTGTTTTATAAGTTGGAAATGTTATAATTTACAGGGGGCTATTTTTAAATCTAAACTTTAAAAGCAGAAAAATTGTGGTGGTGAAAGTTTGTCTCCATTAATCTTCGTTACCCATTTATTAGATAGTCCAGGAAAGGCATGTGTTAATGGAGAAGAATTGAAAGGTGAATAATAGAAAAGTTAATGATCGTAGTGAGTGTTTCTCTTCTCAAATAAATGCTTCCTCTGTTCAAGTTTTGGTCACAATTTCTTCCTCCTCCTCAAGGTAATTTACAAACAGGTACCATGTCGTGCCATCATTATCCTTTCCAATCCGAGGAACGGATAGGTGTGTGCCGCTTAATTTACTTAATTTTCTTGTCCCTCGGGTACTACACGTTACCTCCGTCTCTCTCAATTTTTACCTGCAAATATCTTTTTCATGAGCATTTGTTTCGTTTTATTTGATTTCCGTTTTATAACAGGTGGTAACTAACCGATTTTTGTCGAGAGTGACAGTTGTATATTGAAGAGTAATTAAAGTGCTGGTGATAATTTCTACCACTGTGGCTCGACCATTTTTATTTCCTTTAATTTCAGGACGGACTTACAGCTGAAATTATTGCTCTAGCTCAAGAGCACACACAAATTGGTACACTTTTAGCGAAAATGAAATTAGTTAGTTTCTCTTTTTCAAACTATACTATCGTATTTGTTCATCTCTTAATTAGAAGGTTTAAATAAGATATCTTTTTATTTCCGTTTCATTGGAAAAAGTATTGTGGTGTCGTACTGTAGTTTGTTTCATTTTTAGGACCAGACACGTGATGCTTACGTGGAGCAATTATGCCCGCTGGAAATGCCTTTACGTCGAATTAAACTGAAAGTATTCGGACATGCTGGTGTTGGTAAAACCCGATTAATATGTTCCCTCCAGAGTGGCAGCGTGATTGGATCCATAATTGGGGCCGTCCAACGACGTTTTTCAGATAATCCATCTCCTTCCTCCTCAACAACTGCATCAAATCCTTCACAAGGTTACTCACTTTAGCTAGAGCAGATTACGTGAACTACGCTTAGTAGCAGGTCATCTAAACTTGGCTACATCTAAGTGAAGATAATTACTGCTAAAACTTTCACAACTCAGGTCATTGGATTGGATTTTGTTTTTAGACGAAGGGGTCAATTCGTTTGATGATTCAGTGGAATCGAATAACAACATGAAAAGTGGTCGAAGACGAGCCGTACCGCACTTGCAGTATACTCGTGGAATTGATGTACAGAATGTCACGTTGCAAGGTATGATTTGAGTTAAAATTTCTGAATTTATCATATCAATTTCTGACTATTTCTTGTATATGTCCTCTTTACTTTCTATGTCTTTAGTTCCCTTTAGTTTTCAATAAAATTTCATATATATCTTTGCTTTCCAACTTATTGCAAAGCACCATGGATTAGAATGTGAAATTAGCACATAATGTATGACAACGCCACAATTTACCAAAAATATTTTCCTTAGTTTCAAATTTGATTTTCGAATAGTGGTACTGTGAGCATTTCAGGATGTGGTGAATTTTCGGTATGGGAATTCGGTGGTTATGAACCATACCACATGGCATACGATCATTTCGTTGGCAATACTGATTGTGTTCACGTAATTGTATATCGTTGTACGGATCCAACGGAGATACAGTACAAGCAAGTACTTTACTGGATGAACTTTTTGAAAGGACGGGTTACCCCAAGTGAACCGATTGGACATTGCGGAATCATTTCCCGAAGAAGCAAGGTAACAGTCGGTTCATAAGCATTACATTTTTGCATAAAAATAGGATAGAACTGAATTCCAAAATTTCAAGGAGTTTTATTTGTTGTCAGTTTTTCGTCATTTTTATAAAAATTTTTTTTTCTTGTTTTAGTTAATTCTTGTATTCATTCGTCAAAAGTATCAAATAGTTAAGATGATACACTTTGATTGAATACAAGAATTAGAAATGATATAGCTTAAGATAGATAGATGCTTGCTAAGTTACTTTCCCAGTTTTTTATATCATGAAATTATGCCTATCCTCGATTATTTGATTTTTTTGACTTTCGGCATAGAAAATTAGGTTATGCTTTTCATATAGGTAGTAATAGTTGGTAGTCATGCGACGCCAGCACTTTTTCCGCTGCGGAATAGCGATGGTGATTACGTTTCATCGGATGGTGAAGCAATGCTGAAAACTGTTCGTTTACGTTTTGAAACGCACTTTGATATACACGATCAACTCATTCTACTCAACTCAACTCAGAATAATTGTCCAGGTATTTTTATTAAACTTGAATTTTCGAATGAAAATATTCCTTATATCTTAGATATTTGAGAAAAGCATCTTTCATCGTTTTTTCAACATATGACGGAATTGATAGAATTACTACTAGCGTAGCTTTGCTAAATATGACAAAGATCAAATGTTGAAGATCTGAAAGTTGAAATTAAAAAAATCGAGACTGGATGATATGATATGTCGTAAGGCAGCTATTGAGATTAATGAGAATTTATAAGCATTTAATATTTTAAAAGATTTAATACGCATTTGTAGGAATGAAATCACTCAAAATATATCTTTCAAAAGCGCGCGAGTTTATACTTTCGGTAAGTCAGTCATTCGTACTGTTTAGAAGAATGTTCACTTAAGTATCACAATGTCTCCAGTGCACATGCACTTCTCTGAACGGGAAGATATGTGTGAACCGAACAAGTGACAGGTAAATAGCTGAAGAGTTTAAACCTGTCTCTCATCAGGACCTCTTAAGTTATCACTTGTGAGTTCATGAAATTACTTATCTGAGAATATACTCCATTTGCAGCGGTTGCAAAAGCCTTTGGGCTTATTGGACACTACAGTACAATACATTTCTGGCGTGCGTAAGCAACACGCTTTCTTTCCGGTGATAACGTGGCCACATTTTACTACTTTGGTACGGAATGAGGTGAATTCACTGGCAGGTGATAATCACTGCAGGCAATTAATCCAGCAACTGCAGCTTATTGGCGAGGTTATCACTTTTTACGAAAATCATGATTCTTGGATTTGATATTTTATCATTTAGATAATAAAGTGATAGGCTTTAATTGCTTACCTTAGGTGTCATTACTTTCATATTTCTAATTCTAAATATTGAATTGGCATTAACATAGGAGTGGAATTTTTGAATATTTTTTGTCTTTAGGCTACATAGTCGTGGATGTTAGTAGACTTGAAAGTAATAATGGTAATGAATGAAAATAGAGGAAAAAATTATGGGAAGTTAGGGTGAAACTATGTGTTTTGTTTTAGTATGACGTAAGGTGTGCAATTGATTATATTCTTGCACGATTAGTGCGAAGAGTTAACCATTTGCCGTGTAATTATTGTAGTTACTTCGAAGTGAAAGAAGAAATGCAGTTTTCTTAGAATCAGATTTGAGTTCTTTTAGGTCGTTTATCTGCGGGATGAGGTATCAGAACTGGATTATGTCGTATTGTCACCAGAATGGCTTGGTACCCATGTGCTGGGTAATCTCCTATCCGCAGAATTCTTGTCACATTGTCGTATAAATGGTTGTTATTCTATCGACGACTTCGCACCAATATATCCGGAAATTGCGGACCCAGCAGATTTATTAAGGATTTTGGACACATTGCAACTGTGTGCGCCTACTGATTCTGATGGTGAAGCAGAATTTGAATTCCCAGCTTTTAATGTGTTAGATCCTCCAAAGTAACTTTTTGATAATTTTTTCACTTACTTTCTAAAAAATTATATTTCATTTTGGATTTTTTCCAATCCATGTAAAGTACAGTTGGATTGTTGCATTCATGGTACTGTGAATTTAATTAGTAAATTTCATTTGTTAGTTTTTTATGCTGTAATTTCCTTGGGATTTTCAAAATCCCCTTTTTTTTGTAGTAATCGGAATTTAGTCACTTATCAGGTCAAAATTTGCAGTTTTAATAAGTACATTTTAGAGATATTTGGCAACGGGATCGACCAACGTATGTTTATGGCGGAGTACGGGTTTTACCAATGCGTGGAATGGAGCGTTCACTTCAGAGTACCTTTCCGCGCATACAGGTTGCGTTACGTCGGTCGATGCATGATTTTCAGGTCATAATGTGTTTATTGCGAATTTTCCTTTCAATATAGGTCTAAATCTATTCAGTTTTTTTATTAAGATATCAATTCATGGGAATTTGAAACAGTGAAAAATGTAAGCTTGCAGCAGTTACATAAAATTATTATTTTCTGTAGATGCTTGACTTAAGCTTATCAGTGTTTCCTTTTTTTGTGTATGTTGGATTCTACAAGATGTGATCAGTTTTTAGGATCCGATGGACGCAGATCTGATGCAATGGAATAGTTGCAGTAAAATGAGCTCTGGCCAAATGGAAGCATTAGTTCGTTTACACGGTGATGCGGTCGAAATTCAAGTACGCGGTCCATGTGAAATAGCCACATCATGTTTTTATTTCCTAGAAGATATAACGAATCTTGTGGAACAAACAGCTCAGGAAGTAGCACCGGGCATTTCGCTTGAACGACACTTTCTTTCTCCCAAGCACCTACGAGTAAGCTTGCATATAGTTATGTTTGAACTCCTTTAAATCACACAAATTCATAATTCAGATTGACATTATTCGACCAAAATTTCCTAAGGTACACTAGTGAGATGTACTTTCATGCCATGTTAGGCTCATGTCACACCTACACAGTTTGTTCTTAAGTTTGCTAAATTAGCCGGTTGAGAACTTTGGTTTGTTTGATGCTTTGATTGAAATACGCTTCGTATTCACCTTCATTCATTCATTCCCAATCTTTCTCTTATCTTTCTATTAGATTTTATGAAAAAATGTTAGTAAATCCAGAGATCTATTTAGCTTAAACATCATATTTCAGGAACACTTTTCAAATCCGGCAGTTTATGCTCCGGAAACAATTATGGCTATGCAGCAGGCGGAATCATTAACTATTCGTAATAATCAGGAAGGTGATGAGCTGTTCACAGATGTTGTGTGTTTCGGATCGCGCGATGTAGCTGCTTTGCTAACGCTTGGTATCGACGTTGGAGTTGCACAGCTTCAACTTGCATCTCGTTGTGAACTAGCTGCTCTTTTGGATCCATCAGATGCCATGGGTAGAGATTGGTTGGTTTTGTTGAAATTTATTTGAAGCCATTTTACTCTAACATATTTAACCTTGATGTAATCAATAATTTAGGTCTATCCTTGCGGTGAAATTAAATCTGACAGATCAGCTGCCGGAAGTAGATTCAACAGGACAAAGTCTCTCGAGAACCGATCAACTCTTAGCGGAATGGGCATTGCAATGCCCAGAAACAGCAACCGTTGGTCGATTATGTACTGTTCTCGAGGAACTTGGAAGACAGGATGCTCGAGATGCGCTTTATAGGTTTCATTTCATTCTCTAGCTATCTAAAATTTTTATAAATCACATTTCGAGAAAAGACTCAAGTTAACACTTTTGTTTCACAGGACTGTACCACTGTATCTGTTTGCTCCGATGGATGAGCAACCTGTGGTACATCTGACGGAATACGGTGATTCGGGTGTAGTTTCTTCAACGCAATCGACTACTGATCCACGCTCTGCCTCAACACTTTCACGATAGCGGGAGATGCAAGTGTTGTTTGGAACTAGAATGATTTAAATTAATTAAAATGTATCACTATTGGTTTCTATTAATTATTAATTAAAAGTTTCTATGCTAACTGTCTAAAGTTGCTCGTTGTACCTGCTATCATATAATGCTACAAATTCATCACTCCAGCTGTTTCTATTCATCTCTTTAATCTCAGTTCTTCCTGAGAAATTCAATTAAATTTTTTTGCTTATATCTATAATGCTATAAGATAACTGTTCAAGGATAGTTTTTATCATTTTCATTTTGTTGCAGTGGAATGGATCCTCATAATACTAATAAACTCCGGGATTTTTTGATTTTTGGATAAGGCCTTACTTCGTTTTTTTTTTCTTTCGAATGTGCTATTCCTTCTTTTCTATCTCCTCAATTCATTTTTTCAAATTCGTTTTTCTTATAATTGATTAACTTATTGACGCATTCGATCGTTTTGCAAGTCTTTTTTATTGTACAAATTTGCAGTAGTTGAAGAGAAAGAAGAAACTTAGGTTAGAGAGGTATCCTTGATTTGTTTCCCGACCAGATATTATACCTTTTAATTGTTGTGACATTCATTCTTAACCTTCCATTCCTTACATATTGCATCTGGAAATCCCGAGAGTAACGTGTGACCTATACTCATGTATTAATGTAAAATATGTTGCTTAATTGTTCGAATTGATTTACTAACTGTAACATGTTCAGCAAATGATTAGAACATGCCATGTTACAACACGACAATGTGATTTACTTAGATGATAGATGGTGAGATGAGCGAGTTGAAACTTACTCACTCATCTGTTTTAGCGATTTAATTATTCCACCAAAACTTGCATCCCGTAATAGTAGTTAGGTGATACGTGAATAATTTTCACGTCACTAAATTTCTTGGTGAAAGTTCTGAAATACTCTTTGATCTGCGTTATATCTATAGTAAATGGTAATGCTAATCCAGTAGTTAATCGAATCATCTCAGGTATTCGTACCATCTTTTTAATTATCTTTTAATTTCACACCACACCGCTCATACCCATCATCGCTACTATTACTTCAACCGCGGGTTTTCCTTCTCATTTCCGGTATTTGTATTATTTCAGATGTATGTTTTAGAGTTAAGTTAAGGAGGTGTCACATTTCATTGTGTCATATTTTGTTCAATTTCACTTTGTATCAATTTCTTGTCTCATATATTTTCAGACTGTCCCTCTCTCTCTCTCTCTCTCTAGTAATAACTTTCTTAGTTTCTCATTATGCAGGATGATTTCTCAGTTCTCGACCTTGCTTTATCAACAAAAATGTGTTCCCACTAGTTAGAATTGAACTAAAACTGTGTGATCAAAGCCTTTAGCTTTTCTTACTTAATTTTCTATTTGCTTTTCGTTATTTATTGTTGAATTACTATGTAACACTATTGGGAAGCGTTCTGAATCGTGTTCGTGGGACACATTTAGAATATTCAAGCAAGTGGTTAAGGTTATTCTTTTGAAGATATTATGGCTTCAGGAGGAACAGAGCCTGAAATGTGCATATCTCAGTATGAAGCAAAGAAGAGATTCATAAAGAAATAATATAAAATGGAAATATCTTGCAATATTTCTCGATTTCAATATTCAAAAATTGAATAGCTCATTTGAAAATGCAACCGAGAACATATGCGAAGGAGAAGGATGAATTTGGAAATAGAATGACACGGAAGCAATGACTATTGGCTTCCTCATCTCTTGACCACCTGTGATGGCAATTCAGGAGACGACGTCGACGTTGTAAGGGTTATCTTCAGATCTCTTCGGGTCTTTCCTTCACTGCGGCAAGTGTTCCGTTCGTTTTCCTTTCTGCAAGAATCCTGCATGAGGCATTTGCAGTTTACTCAGCATCAAATCTTTTGCAGGATTGTCCTGGGAAACTGAGGAAACAGAGATCGGTGTGACTGATTGGCTAGTCTTGTGGATGAGTACTGCACAGGGTAACTCTCTGATATGATATGATAAGAAGGACCTCTAGTTTCAAGATAAGGTTTTCTAGCCAAAGCCTTTTCCTACATTTCGTTAAATGAGCGCAGTTTGTACTGAGGGTTCGAAAATAAAACGCATGAGTAAGACCTGAGAGGAATATTTTAAATAAAGCTTGAATAAACTAATGGGGAAAAGATAGCGTTTACCTGTAGTATATATTAGAGAGACCGAAGAGGTTTTAGCTAAGACTGGCAAGGACGTAGGTGCTAGGACAAAATTGTTCGTATGTGTGCAATCAGGTATGTCCATGAAGCCGCCAGCAAATGTTAGTGGCGCTGCTGGACACGAGACTGGCCTACGTGACTTTGGTAAGGCAGTCTTTCTTTCCGTAAATCAGGACGTGCCCAGTGGTATTGTAACAGAGTATTATTGAAGCAATTCTAATGAGTGTGATCCATCCAAGTCTTCCTTAATTAGAAGGAAGAGATCATTTTGTCTCGAAGAATTGCATTGCAAGACACAGAAGAAGAATTGGAATGACGACCGGTCATTCCGGAAAATGTTCTGCTGTTTTACCTTTTCTTAACAAAAATGTCATACAAGCGGGCGGTGATGCTACTTGCAACCAATTCGCTGGCATTTTGCGTCACCAGCCTTAATACCAATACAGTATCGCCGACGAACTGTTCAGCAAAGAGCTGCATGAGATGATTTGTCATTTTTTCTTGCGGTTGCTAAAAATTAATGACATCAGGTAAGCTTAAACGGAGGTATTAAAGTAACTGTTTCAGTCACGTTATGAGGATACTACGACAAATGCACATGCATGTGCACCTGTGCCATTCTGTCTAACTGGAACTAAACTGACACCGAGTGTGACGAGTCCAATCAGAAACTGATGACTTGAAGTGACTGAATTTAGCGTGTAGATCCAGTAGAAGAAGTTGACAACTGTTAGGGTGATTACCGCCAGAAACCACCACCACAGAGCAACGTATATCTTCTCGTTGAACATATTCGCCATCAGGACGCATTGAATGGTGTGGCGGTGCACATTGCCCATGACACGGATCTGAATTTCTGCGTTTTATTGTTCTGTTTTCGTTGACATACATCGTCAGTCCTTCATGGCACATTTTCTTTCTTGGAAGAGAACGAACCTTAAAGTCGCACATGGTAACCCTTGGGAAAAGACCAGTGCTTTGCCAGGTTTCCTGTCTCAGTAGTGCTCTTGTCAAATCGTAGCCATTACCGCCCAAATAAAGTGATACTATCCAAAACTGAAAATGGACAAATTTACAAACTGCAATACAATTGCTTTTGGCAAAATGACTGCTATATGCTTTAAAGCCACTGAATTTCAAATTAAGTGAAATCAAACAGGTAAAAAGTCCTAGAAAATTCATCTGCTCTCACCTGCACTGTTGCATTTGCTACAAATAACAATTTGGTTATCAGATAGACTGTACTGAGATAAGATTGGGTAAACATCCTGAAACAGCATTCCAATTACATAGCTAGTCAGGCTATTACACATTGGGAATCCGTCTGATCACGTAAGGATAGACGTTCTCGACATTATTATTAAAGCGTCGACATGATAAGTGAATCTCAACGACTATTTGCCACTCCAAACCAATGTTATATTATGGTACCTTGTAAAGATGACAAGCAAATTACTGTTCTGCAATATTTTATGCAAATGTCTGGTGGATTTCTCAGCATGATAAATGTGACTGGCGATGGCATTCACAGTATCACGCGCTTCATCACCACAAGGATCCATTTGACGCACGCTGTCCGCCATTGATATTACTGCACGCGTCTGCACGTCTGCAAGAGAACTGAATATGATTTAAAAAATAATGGAATTCCCTCAAGTTCTTTGAATACTTAAATTAAAAGACGCACACTTAACTTATAAACCTACAAATATTTCTTGAGACTTGACAAAACGAACTTGACGTCCAGTTGAGCATTCTCCAGAAGACGTGAGGTATCACGAATAGCATCGCTTGCAGCAGCAGTGTAAACGGTACCCACTGAAACAGTTCGGACGAGTTTATGGTACTTCAGACCAGACTTATTCAGATACATCATTATACTAACATACCTATCCATCCAAACTGGTCCAAACAGAATACCAGTCCGCAAGAAACAAATGAATGCGTCGATGCCCTTACTTGATAATAAGTGATCAGTCTCTCGTCGCGGTGCTTCTCGCTCTGCGGCATGTTCTGCTCTAGCGGAATGTAGTACGTGTTCTCCACAAAGCAGTAATCCTCCGCATACTGTTCCCATGATTTCTGGGATGCTAATTCGGCAGGTAACCAACACTGAATCGGGTCACCGCCATACTCCTACAAATTCAAGATTGAATTCCTTCATACTTTCTATTAAGCAGGAGGAAATCCTGAGCTTTCAACACAGTTCTGTGATGTTTTCATCGATCAAAGAATCATCCAATGAATTTTATCAGTTCAATTCGTTTCCATCCATTTTAAATGTAATATTCTCTTTCTTTTCGCTCCTATTTCATTGATCTATAAGCTTATAGTAATGCTTAAAGGACCATTCATCCATGAACCAGATCAGAAATTCTACTCTGCCATATTATCCATGAACCAGATCAGAAATTCTACTCTGCCATATTATCCATGAACCAGATCAGAAATTCTACTCTGCCATATTATCCATGAACCAGATCAGAAATTCTACTCTGCCATATTATCCATGAACCAGATCAGAAATTCTACTCTGCCATATTATCCATGAACCAGATCAGAAATTCTACTCTGCCATATTATCCATGAATCAGATCAGAAATTCTACTCTGCCATATTATCCATGAATCAGATCAGAAATTCTACTCTGCCATATTATCCATTAATCAGATCAGAAATTCTACTCTGCCATATTATCCATTAATCAGATCAGAAATTCTACTCTGCCATATTTACTTCACATCAAGCAGATTCTTCCCTTTTCCCTTCTTCTTTTTCTCTCCTTCTCTGACTCTGTCGTAACAGAATTTTACTTACCTTAAAGCTAACTGATATGAATTACTGAGAAAGAAAATTCATGGGTGACAAGAAATGATTCAACTTTCTTAAACAGTCTTCTCATCCTAATCCCTCTCTCTCTCTCTTGTCATCCTTTCAGTATATGTTTAAAGTGAAATTAATGATGACAAAGTAACAGTGTCACTTGTCACTACCGTAATTGACAAAAGTATAGGTGAATTCAGAGATGGTGGAGGAAGCAATATTAAGTGGAGTAAGCGGGACGAATCAGTTGTTGAATGGGTAGGGTAACAACAGTCGAGAAATCCTTGGAAAGGGTGAGGGTACGAGTAAGCAGGACGATTGAGTTGTTGAATGGGTAGGGTAACAGGGTGCTACAGTATACAATCTGAAAGGGAAAGGGAGTGTGACGTTTTGCTGTACAAAGAGAAAATGATTTCCGTGTAGAGTGATGCAAGTGAAAGTGAACTTGGTGAATGATAGGTCAATCATAGGTCAGATATTATTAAATTCCTTCATTATAGTAGAATGAATGGTCGAGGAAGTTTCTCACTTACAATATTTTAATAGAATGGGTAATAATTATGGTGAAGAAAGGGAAAGAAGCGAGAATTGGGGTGGGTAACAACTGATGGAAATGGTGAAAGGTCAACCAAAGCACTTTGAAGAGTGAAATGGGTTGCGCAGATTGTTCACAGAGTATTTTGTAAAGCGCTTTCTTCAGTGGAAAAGGGCGCACATTGAAGAACGGACATTTATCCAACGTCATTTGTCATTTCGAGAAATGAATCAGTGCAATGGATCTAATCAAGGAGAAACCTTGGCTATTATCGTGAATGCGGCAATAAGTAGTATAAGTGTGGTGATGTGATAATTCAATCGATCGACGAAATCCTCTTCATATCGTGGCTTTGTCAGCGATTCGATCACTATCGATAGCTTATCCATATCACAGTGATTGCTTCCAGAGTTTTAGCTCAAGTTTAAAAGTCGATTCTTGGTCATCGAATCACACTTGCTCTCTCCAAAAAATATTTGCAAATAACTTATCCAATTCGAATTTCGAGTTTCAAGCTAGAATGCAGTTTTTTATGAAAAGTCTAATATTAATTTGTATATTGAGGGAAAATGGAAATGGGAACACTACGAAGAGACAGCACATGATGATGATATCTTCCACGACATTGTAAGCAAAGGGCAGGTAGAAAGTGGGCAGGATGGGCATCAAACGATCAACAAATACAACAAGAAGTAATCTCACCATAGCATCTTTCTCGACAGAATCGCTTTCGCTGAGAGCCGATCGAAAGTGCTGTGCTCTTCAGATAAGTCTAGCTCACCGCTGTATCATATCACCACCATCCCATATCGGCAAGCCACCGTATCGATGACGATCAACGCAACATGCATCGCGTCACCTTTTTAAAAAAGATTATCATAGTGAGATGCGATCAGATCGCTGCTAGACATGCGTGCTTCGCGCATCACGCGGAGCACAGCATTGACTACTCAACTGAATGTCACGGATGAAATTAAACCGGGAAGCGCTACTACCTGTGTCTTACCTCCTCTGACTCCCATAACGCCAACTACCATTACTTCTACCAGTGACGATGACAAAACTGCAAAATTTTTCTCTCGCCACTTTGTTGAAAGTTAAAGCAATGTGATCTCCATTAAACAACATTTTTATTAGCTACAATAAAGTATATCATATCGATAAAACCTCTTTATATGTGCCACTCTATGGCATACAGCGAATGATGCATTCATGTGGACGTTATTGCGGGAAAGTCGACAATTTACAACGAACCATTAAACGCAAAACTGAGAGAAATAGCTACACCTCTTATAGCAAAATAATCAAATGTTCCATATATTTGAACTGATAACAACTATCAAAACAAGCGCAATGTTGTCCAAGAAATGGTAAAAGAAATGCTGGCCGTTTGTTTTGCAAAAGTAGATTCATAAAATTATGCATCAGAAAAAACTTCAAGAAAACAAACATAAAACAAAAAAGTACTTATCGTTTTTAAAAACATTTCCACAAATACTACCATACACAAATCGCGCGTGTATGAACGCAATTACGTACCATAAGCAAAAGGGTATACAATTGTATCAACAAGGCAGATGAAGACAAATCACGCGAGGGAATGTCTGTTTTCAAAATTATTAGAAAAAAGTCATATCGCTAGCTTACCAGATTAATAATTTTCTACTATACTAACAGCGCTCCACTATTTCCCAGGCCAATAACATCTAAGTAGATGAATATTCCTAAGTTCGAAATTAATTTAGATAAGCTTGAAAAGTGGTAAATAGATCATCAATCAACATTGTAATCTCTTCTTAACTCTGCACAATATTTAATGTTCACCTCCTTTGGGAAAATCCCAAAATCTGAAGTCTGTACTCAATCAGCTCCTTAGAACAACTATACCTTTCCAGAATTAAAAAAACATTTTCATATACCCTTTCCAGAATTAAAAAAAAAAAAAAAAAAAAAAAAACATATTCTTACCTCTTTCTACTTTCCGCTTTCCAGCCAAATGCAGAATATCAGTTTCAAAAAGGAAAAGGAACTTGCAAAAGTCTTGCCAAGTTGAAATATGATAAGAAAAAATGAACTTCCAAGATAAACTTCTGAGATTATAACAAATTATAACCATAACTAAGAAAAAAGAGAAACAGTCAGTTTTTAATAACATGAAGGAAATGATGTATCCCATCTTAATCCTACTCTACTTATTGGCCAGAATAGCTGGCGTTACTACGATAATTGTTCCGACGATTGTAATTGTTGTGGAAATTGCCGTAACTGCTTCGTTGCTGATTTCCGTAGTTGTAGCCTGGAAAGATAAACTTATATTACGAGAAATAGAATTCCAAGCTAGTTGATAAATCTTAACTGGAACGATTTTTACGAAGATTTCACTTTGTATCTGTCAATACCAGGAAATGTATGACAGCTACATCCACTAAGTTTTTTTTTCAAAAAAGAAAGTCCCTTATTACTTTGAAATGTGAATAAAACTCCTAAAACTGTACTGAATTTCTAATCACCGATATTGAGAAAAATAAAACGATTCCAATAAATAAATATCATCAGTAAGTTAAATAATGCACTGAGTTTTAAAGCAACCACATTTGTCACTTTCCTGAGCCATATATAGAACAAACATGGTAAAAGCACAGCTGGTAGAACTAAGAAATGGGACCATATATTGAGTTACCTATAAGCACTAACAATATGTACAATTTATCAAGGCCTACCAGAACTGTAGCGATAAGCACTATTCATGTGTCCACTACGGCCACCACGACCACTCATGAATCCTCGAGGACGGCGATATGTAAGCGAGCGCACCGCGGAATGTCCAAATGTCTCTTGGTTTGTCTCACGCTCCTTTCTCCAGTCCGTACGTGGCTTCCTATATTAAGATTAAGAAAAGTTTCGACTCATGCATTAGAAAGAACACTCAGAAAACCCACATTTCCTTACAACGATAAAATGGCAATAATAATGAAAAAAGCAAAACATACCCTTCTTGTTTTTCAAGCGCTTCACATGATATTCGGTCGAAAAACGATGAACTTTTATCATAATACCGCTTTTCTTGTTCCTCCTGGCCATTTTCAGTGACTTCTTCTTCGATGACATCTGAACCAGCATCAGATCCCGTTCCTGACTTCTTACTTCCATCTAAAAGAAAATATCCAAAAAAAAGCGAAGAACCATGGACCCTTCCCATGTCTCTCCTAAAGAATTCTGAAGAATGTATCAGTTGAATGCTGAGTAGAAATAGTATAGAGCCAACAATTACGCCAACTATGAGATACAGACAGTGTTAGTTTCGATTTGCAATAGAACTGAACGTCTAAACAATGTCAACATCAGAATTATAGGAACTGGCCTATAATCATTCAGTTCAGTAGTGTCTAATATTATTGGAAGGATACTTTAATACTACTGCATCCCCACTTGTTGTAATCTAATGCAATTCTAAACATCATGGTAAATAAAGATACAAAGCAAAACAGCAGTTAAGTGAAAAGGATTAGGCAAAATCAAGCAATCCTATTTTCGCCTCAAACAAAAGAATTTGATAGTTGCTGAAATGATACGACATTAGTAATATGCAGAAAGCACTATACAATGCACAATAACTAACCTTCCAGCTTGGTTTTCTTAAGATCGAGACTGATATGATTCAGTGTTTCCTGGAATTGTTCGTTGGCCTTCTCAAAGTCGTAGTCACTTTCAAACTTCAGCTTCTCTTTCGATTGTGGCTTTCCACCAACTCCACCACGATGACCTCCTCCACCGCGTTGATAATTTACACTACCTCCACGAGTGAAGAAACCTCCACGACTCTCACGATAATTATTCTGCTGCCCACCTCTTCCATAGCTACCCTGATAAGTCCCACCAACATTTGGATAATTCTGCTGTCCTAAATTGGAAATAATTTAGAGTTTTGGAATTAAATACATGAGCTACTTGGTTAAACTCATTCACAAAATATAGCAGTTTTCACTTGATATATATAGTAAAAATGATCAAGTAGATCTATAAGCGAAGGAATCAAAAAAGTAATCACAGCATGCTTTAACCAGCATGAAAACTCTGAATTAGTGGATGCATCAAAATCGTATCATTCGTTCTGTGACATATCAGCACTCCAAAGAATGCAAAGGAAATACGCATTATGATTTACAATTTGTGCGCAAATTAATGCACGTATAATGAACTGATGCTAAGTCTCGGCCATCATAATTGCTAGGCCCTAAACTACTAATTAAAAAAGCGATTATATAAAAATTAGAAAGATTAGACTAAAAAAATCGTTATATTGACCAACTAAAAGCTTAAATTGTTCTGCGAAATGGGGAAATAAAAAACAAAATATTCAACAGGGAACATGCCAAAAAAGAAAGTACAGCTTAAGCTCCCTCCTTGTAGCGATAAAGCCTCAAAGCCTCAATCATGTGTAAACTGACGTCCGGTATTAAGTGTTCCTTGATGTATCTGCTGCTGGAAACCACCACGGTTTTTAGTACCTGTCGTGGGCTGCACTGCACTTGGCAATGAACCTGTACGTTGATTGCGTCCTGCCCCAGGAGCACGCGAATGTGCCGGATCTTCAGCTGGAGAAATGCGATTCGGTGTGCCAGAACGCGACGCTTCAAATACATTCAAATTAGCTGCTGTAAACAAATAAATAAATAATATATCAGAAATTGATACAATAGTATATTATCTTCGATATTCCATTTTTGATCTGAGTAAACTCATGGTAAAGCTATCTTTATATTATTTTAATTTGTAGAAAAATATTTTTCACAAACTTCATGTAGAACGTGGTGAGGAAAAGATCAAGTATAATCAACTAATTTTAATTTCTAAATTTAAAATTAAGCAAGCTGGTCAAACTGAGAAAGAACTCACATCCAGCGCTAATAATGTTGCTACCCATAGGTACACCAGGAACTGAGGGATGCATTGGGATGGTACGTCCTGAAGAAATCGATAATATGGCTGGGTCATATGCCAAGCCGCTAGCAAGTTGAGGTACCGGTTTTGGTGTTTCACACACAATTAGATCTTTGATATCAGTTGCTTTGAAAATAATGTATTCATATATGTCATCACGAGCAGCAACTGGATTTGGTGTTGGTCTGTCTTCCGTTCCGAACGAACGCACTGAACTATATCACGTTAGAACAGTGTAGGAAAAATGCAGCAAATTTGAACTAATTTAATAATCTAAAATGGTAAGTAAAAAACTGTTCCGACTTAGACGTTTCGCTGAGGAATAGCTGTAACAAAAGCTTATGTGAACATAAAGCTTCAAATAAGATACACTTAAATCACATATGTATTGATGGCCACTGACCTCCTCCTGAGTTGGATGGATCAAGATCCTAATATGAATTATCATTCTTTTTATTGGTTGCTTAAACTGTGGTTTCTATTTGCAGTTCTTAGTCTACCAGTTCAATTTTTCATACTAAACAAGCAAAATGTAAAGTGATCTTTATTAATCCATGTATAACGTTAATCAGTGGTATTAGTGATGCATAAAACCGATAACTCAATCTAATATTTGATTTGATGTTACCGAGTTAGTCATGTATATTCAAAGAACAATACTAAATATGCATAAGTAGAAATTCGATACAGCAACCTTTGGCAAGAGCAATAGTTGATTCATTGGTATCGACGGTGTACAATATTCCCTCGTAGCGTATATCGAGTTTAGAAATCAAACTTATTCTGCTTCCAATGTAGGGAGTTTGTTGTGCCATTATGCCACAATTATGCAGCCAGAATGAAAAATGCAAAAAGTAACCCTACCTACCCTGAAGACGATAATACGCTATC